TATGCTCACTTAGCTGAACAGCTGCAATGGCTGAGCATATTATTGCATTGCAGACAAGCGTTCGTGCTTTCATCACAGGAGAACTGAGGGTTCTGCTCAGCTGCTTCTGAACAAAATCGGTTGGGTATTTTGATGGTGGGGTTTTTTTGGCACTGCAAAGACGCAGTTGAGCAACAGACCTGACCGAATCTAGGGGCTGCTGACACGGGAGGCAGCACTTCCCCCATCCTTGCCCCACAAGTCTTTCCTACTGCCCACTCTGCTGCTCATCTACCAGCTGGATTTCTTAAACCACCAAGAACCTGTTCCTGTTTCTAGTGTGTTCGTTTTCATCTAGAAATTGAACTGCACTGGCTCACCATGGGGCTGATGAGATCCAGCATGTGAGATGGGGGAGGGAGTCCTGCCAGTAGAGGCGAGGAACAAGGCAATCCTCCTTTGGCAGCAGAACTTCTTGGCAATAGGATTAAACCAGTCCGACTTTACTGTAACCACACCCTACACCAGGATTTGTCTTCAATTCACACTTAAGTATTAAGTTCTGCCATCTTGCCTAAGAAGCAGTGATGGAAGGTTTAACAAAGACCTGTTAACAATGTGATGTTTGAGGTCATGGCTCCTGCTAACTAAAGGGATACTCCTGAGGCTCTTGCCCCACCTCTGCACGCTCCCTGCTTTTCCCTGGATTTAATCCAACCATTGTGTACCTACTGTGTAGTTTGGCTCTGATAACCTTCCAGAGGAAAATTAACAATATGCAAAGAGAAAGCAGTCCATGTGTAGTAACGCCTGAGATCAGGTTCACTAACACCTCCACCCAAGAGCATTTACATTAAAACCTGGAGAAACTTGCTTTGTTTGAAGCTGCCTGAAGCTTTACATCTACCCTGATGTCCTCACAGTTCAAAACTTTTTCAATCGTGCTATCCCTACAGGCCCTCACCTACAGTATCCTACAGCAGCTTTGAAATCATTCCTAAATGTAAAGGAATATACTCGTGCCTTGCAGCGCCATACTGCTTTCTCTAACACATTTTCACTTCCAGCTGGTGTCCCTTGTTCCTCATATACTCTACCCAAACTTGGTCACATCTCTAGTTCTTGTGGCTGCAGCTTTCTCTGTGCTACAGCATCTATCTTTTATCAGTAACTGGTAGCTGTATTTATTATGGGCAGCCTTACACATTACTCATTTATAAGGCAGTAACAAATTCTCAGGCTTTATCAATGTTGGTAGTGGAAAAAAAAAAATCCCAAACCACAAACCCCAAACTACAACAAATCCACCCCCTATCCTGATCAGGGGATAATGGTGTTAATGACAACTTTTCATCAAGTTACAATGGGACAAGCTAAAAATTAGTAGATCAGACCCCTCCCAAAGCAGCATTTTCTACAAGAACAGAAGCTCCATGTTTGTGGGATGCCTCAGCTCATGTTTGTGTATGGAGAACTGCCAAAATTACAAGTTCCAGCACTGATGAAGCTGTGACACAGCTCCTGCTTTCAGCAGCAACATCACTGTTCCCACCCATCTCAATCCACGAAATTGCTTAATTACTCCTCCTATTATTAGAGCAAATAATATGTGATTTTTTTTTTCCTGACAAAAGATTAGTGAAACTCACTCGTTTGAACTCAACACAATTGAGAAGCTAAGCCTAAGGACATCTAGCTGACAGCTGCTCTGCTCTCTTTCTACCCTCCAAAGAGCATTAATGAGCTATTACTGGTTCCTGCCCCAGCTCTGGTTAAACGGGGCTTATATCCTTGGCTACAGCTCTGGATCTACACTGGCTCTTCAAGAGGGCATGCAGGACAAGGGAGATTATAGCTGAATTCAGCTCCAGAGGCTTATTTCATCTGACTCATGCCCTGGACACTGAGAATTTTCCTAAAGCCAGATTAGGTTCGGTTAGGTCAACTTTCATGGCCCAAACCTAATAAAGCATCCTGGGTTGGATGAGAGCTGGCTCAGCATAACAGTTAAGATACCTCTGCATTAATTACTTTATCACCTCAATAACTTTGTCTGTAGGTACTTTATGGGTGGCACTTTGGGGAAAGAGAAGGAAAAGTAATTGCATTTTGGTAGATAGTTATGGAAGATCAAGTTATAGAAGGATAGTTTTTGTTGAGACGAAAGGAAACAAAAAAAATTAAGTGTTAAAACAATTTTCTTCTTGAATACATTACACATCCTTACACAATCACATCATGTATTAAGTCCTCTGTTTTCCTCAGTCCTGCCTGCTCTGTCCCCTGGAGACCTCCACATTCTGATTTTTTTCTCCCATTAAAGCTACCATATATAAAGAATAAATATGAGAAAGGCTAGATTGCCCTCAGTGAAATGTTTCCACTGTTTTTACCTGAAGCAAAATCCTTTAGAGAAACAATTCTGTTTTGTGTCTAACCTTTAAGAACTATTTTGCCTGAAGACATACTCTCCTGATGCATTTAGGTGAAGAATGCCTGGGTTTTATGACTTTTTTTTTTTTTTTTTTTTTTTTTTTTTTTTTTTTTTTTTTTTTTTTTTGGGTAGGAACAAGGTTGGGGGAAATAAAATTTCAGCTCTTCATTAAAGAGAACCATCTCCAGTCACTGATAAAGGGTAAGTGCATTAGACAATTCAGGAGTCATACAACCCACACAGATTATTGCAGATTTGACTTTTGTTACTGAAATTAGTCATATTCTATGTTGAAAAAGCAATTTACCAATCACAAAAGTTAAATGAATTTTGGAAGTTATTATTCACGTTTTCTGTCTATATATTTGAAGTAGGGACAATATAATTCAAATTGGTCTAAGAAGCTGCAGTGAAATAATCTGATACTTGTTTTTAATAACTGAATTAATTAGACTGTATTGAGTACCATGCATAAATACTCCTCACGTACTAGGTATTCCCATTTAAATGTTTTTTTTTTAATTTCAGTAGAGGCTTCAATGTCAGGTTGATATGAAATGATAGCTAGATTGTAGTGCATTATTAAAAAAAACATTCCAGATTGGAACCCATTAAACATAAAAGCTGCATACCAAAAGAAAGATTTTGTTTTTCAGAATGTATTATTCTTCTTAGTTTTTACTACTCAAGAGTGGGTTTTTATATTTCAAAATGGAAATATTGCTACCTATTTCAACCAACTGTATTTTTAAAAATTTGCTCTATTGCCATTTCTTTGAGCATGTTATTATTGTAGTGTATGAAATTTGACTCAGGCTTTGAGAAAACAACAATCCAGAGACTTCCAAGGTTCTGTGACATTTTACCTATATGAATTAGGGAAGTTTTGACTAAACAGGATGAGAGGGCGAGCTGGACCCATATATAGGCATAGTGGTTTTGCCTAAGACTACTAAAACGCTGAAGCCCACATTGCCTGCATTTACCTTTCTGGAGCATCCCCATCAACACAGACCTTGAGTGAGTCACCTTTGTCAGGGAGTTTTAGTCCTTATAGATGTTATCATCTCCTGTCCAAACAATCCCTTTTATCATTCCTCTCTCCTTCCCAAACATCCCTCTGTTACATGTTCGGAGCACTCTCAGGTAATTAGTGGCTCTGCATTAATGTTTTGAATTATGCATAAGCCATATGAAGGTGCATCAGGTCACAGAATATGCCTGTTACTGTTTTGACTACCTTAATATTCCTTCAGGTCCAACAACACACAAAAGGGCTCTATTGCTACTCAAAACTAAACAGTATGTAGAATGTTCAATGTCAAAAAACATAAATTAGCAGTTTTCAAGTAAGACAGAAGTGTCTAAATAAAAGAAATAAATAAACCTGGCACGCTTCTGCCTTTAGGCACATTTTCTCCAAACAGAAAAGCTTTTCAGTGACAAGCTTGTGAATTGGGCCCGCTCATATAGAATGAGAAGGATTTAAATAAAATTGCCATGACATAGAGTGAACACCAGCACCACTGACAGTTTAAGAAGAGATTCCTGTTCAGGGCTCAAATCCAGAATGATAGTAGACCCTTTTCAGATTTAACTTAAAAGCAAGCAGAAGCACTTAGACTGCCTCTATTACCTGAACCTTTTCCAACATCTACAGAAAGAACTTAGGAAGACCAGTCTCTGCACTTGAGTGTGCAAAGGTAATGACACAGATGAAGCTCAGATTCCTACTGATCAAGTTCAAAAGACAGATTATCTCCACTACCCTGCTTGGTTGGACAGCAAATTAATTATACTACAAGCAAACGAGGTAAAAGACAGCATATTTCCCTTACTAAAAATTATTCAGAAGACAGGGCACTCAGAGTTCATAGCTAATACATGTTTTATTTCTTGCTTCTACAGTTAAATTGTAAACCTTGGTACTACATGAAACATTTAATTGAAAATACTGTCTAAGTGAATTAATAGCCGCCAGTTCATTAGCACTTTGGCATGCATGAGTGCATTTCTTTTGTTATAACTGAAAATCTCAGAGTAACCTTACTTCTGGTGCTAAAGAGACACTGTGTGCAGTGGTGGAAACAAACATGCATTCACAGTATGAGCAAGTGCTGCATGTTCATTTGGGTTTGGCATTTTAACAGACACCCAGGGGAGGTGGGGGAAAAAAAAAAAGCAGCGTATCCCCATGGTAACCAGGACATCTTGTTTTATAATGTTTAACATGTTTAGCATATTTAACATTAAACACAGCAGACAGAAAAAAATTAGTCACCTAGAAAAATACTCATTTCTGAGCAAAACTATTCATGAACAATGAACATGAAAAGCTCTTGGCAGTGTCCTGGGAGATATGAAAAATTGCTATTTTTCATTTTTGGCAGCTGACAATTTATTCTAAGCTTTTTTCCTACGCCTATGAATCAAATGCCTCCTCTCTTCTGCCCTCTTTATTCTTCTCAACAAAGTACTTTTAGATTTACTTTCTCATGTGCTAAGTTATCCAAAACCAGATCTTACTAATTTTTTTTATGTGTAATAAATAGTTTGTGAGTTCCAAGTGAGGAAGGAGGAACATATCTGGAAATTAAATCTTCTCAACTTTATTTGTATTATGAAAATATTTTGTGGATGATGACTGCTTTACTTTTGTACCTCCTATGCTCCCAGTGACTAGGAAGAAAACGGGTTTTAAGATTCACTAGCATTGCATAAAGGCATATCAAAACTGCAGAACAAACAAGCGTATTACTATTACACCAGCTTTACCTTTTTACTGATGGTTCATTTTATACTTGTATATAAATCAGCAAGTCAAGTGTCAGCTGTATTTTTACATGTCCATTCAACAATCAGAACTTGAAGTTCTAGCTAATCAACTCAATCTTGAACAAGTCAGAACAGAGAATGAATTTACTTGCTTGATCATCTTATAAACATCCTATTTCAGTGATCAAGTTCTTACTGCATTTTTTTAAAGCCCACATGTGCAAGCTATGTGGAAACTTGCCATCAAGTGATTTTGCATGTTGTACCACTATCAGTCCAGGTGCAGAAAACCTACTGGACACTTCAGCGATGTGTTGCTCACAAATGGACCTTCTATTTCTAGCTCCGTGTCTGAGCTGACACACAGAAAAGTTTTGAGATAGAATAAATAATCCCAGCTTTCCGTGAAAACCAAGACTCTGCTATTGTAAGCAAATGTATAACATTAGATGCATAAACATATTTTATCATATTATGTGGCAGTGTTCACTGGTTTCTATGGAGAAGCAGACTTGTCACCTTGTTGAATGGCTTAAAGCTAGCCTGAAGCTTAACCTAATACAAGCCATATGTTTTAAACAGATATATGTTCTATATATCTATAATAGAATATACTCAAGGAAACAAGTTACACTTTCCATTGTTAGTGAGAATAGCACTTCTAAAATTTTACTGAGCAATGCTATTTTCTACTCCCCTAAGATTTTGAAGGCTAATAGAAACCAAGTTTGTAACTGCATTAATTTCTCTGAATTAACACTAAAAGTGATTTGTCTTTCTCCGTGACACTTCAGAAACCCTGAAGTCTTATTTTGCTTCCTGCTATTAACTGTCAGCTCTGGATGGCTTAAGTATAGAGGGAAGCCAGAAAAGCCATCTGTTAGGAAGAATGAGAAAGCCTAGTTGTTTTACTCATTTCCTGGGCAAAATGAAGACTGAAAGGTTTTCAGTGAGAAAACTGCTTAGACTGCACTAAGCCAGATGTATATAGGGAATTCAAAAGGAATAAATGAAATAGAATTTTCTTAGTTCAGTATAAAATAGTTGTACAGCAAATATGAAGAAAGCATTTGGTCCCTTTTAAGCAGATGATATATAAGTTTTTCAGTAAAATTTACAAATCCCAGACTTGGTTTTCTAAATGAACTTATATTATGAGTAATGGGATACTAAAAAAAAAGTCAAATGTCAGCAGTATCATTACAAATAAATGCTTTCTGCTTTTAGGAAAAGTAGGATATATAATGCTGGAAAAACCCAGTCACTATATAATTTCTGAATCCGAGGAGAATTTTTAAACAATACATTAGCATAGCAGATCAAATTACATTAGATTTCACAAGAAAAAATCAGGACCATTGAACTTTGGCTTCACAAATGAAAACTTCTTCATTCACGTTATAATATAGCCAAACACATTTCTAACACTTTATGCTTTTTGACCTTATCTTGAAACAGACCATTACTGATGGGAAGGCTCATACCCACTACAACAATAAACTGATGTCAACCTAACAACATTTATCAAATGTAGCTACTTGAAGCCACTATTCCAGCATAAACCCCAAAATAATTATTTTAGTGACTCTAGTCATAGTTCACTTAAGATACTGGAGAAGTAGATAACGTGCATTTTTACATACACATATAAAAAACATGTATGTATACAAATATGTAAGTATAATATATTAATAGACATAAGTATGTATGTATCCCTATACACAGGACCACCTTGGATGATACCTGCAGAAACACCTTTCTGGACTCCTCGGTTTAAATCACTCAGTAGCCAGACTACTTATCTCTCACCTTTGAAACCCATTACAAAACTGCCTTATTTTACTACTGAGTAGTTCAATAGCTCTTCTGCTGTTCTTTTTCCCTCCAATTATACTGTTCAGCTACATTACACAGTATCTGAAGCAGTCTCCTCAATGTTAGGTGTTCAGATGAACAACTAGTTATATTGCTTGCAAAAAACCTTCAGAAATTTAGAGAAATCAAGCTTTGAGCTGCTAAATCCTTGACACCCACCATATAGTCTTCCATAGAAGAAGGGATTCAAGTTACCAGACTGAACTGCAGGCTTTTAACAGTTCATGTCTAGATCTCCAGGCCTACAACAAGAAGCCCACAGGATTTTTCCCTTCTTGAAGTGACAGTTTCTCTGGCACACAAACACATTGCTGTGTTTCCTCAACTGGAAACAAATGAACAAAGAATCCAAAGAGTCTTATGGAAGAAAAATTTCCACAGGCCCTCCTGAGATGCATTCTTTCTTTGCTATGAATCATGACAGCTTTTCCCAGTAAAGACCTCTCCTTTACCTATTCTCTGAATTATTGTCTTCCCTCCAGCATACACAAGCCATCCATCTGGAGTTCTCCCACGCTACTTTCCTTTAAAAGACTATTTCCATTTCTGTGACATAGTAGGCCTTGTAGAGCTCTTAAAGGGCTAAAAGCAAGACAGTCATCCCTTTGGAACTGTCTTAAAACACATCTACTTATCTCTGCAAACTCAGGGGTTTGGTTTTTTCTAAGCATGACAGAGTTCCAAGGGTGAAGATGCCTTTTTCCACACTGACACAGGCATTTCACAAAATTTGCTGGTGTAAAGTGTCTCCTTACTGATCCGTATGCACCACAGATTATGTTTGACTATGGATTCCCAGACACCCAGTAGAAAAGACTGACTAGAAGACTACTAGATTTCTGAAATAAACTTCCTAAATGCAGCACACATCCTCCACTGCTAAAGCTGAGGCAAATATCTTTGCTTATCTCAGAAAAAAATTGTTCAGTATTATCCAGCAATTATTTACACATTGGAAGTCTTGCATTTTCAGCATTCTTTTAAGGGAGAAAGCCACTTCTTTTTCAACACTGAGTCTTGTTCTTTTCCCTAAAATAATCTCAGCTTGTATTTATCATCATATAGCATTCAAAACTGGGAACAATACAGATGAGATCTCACAGCAAGCACAGCACCAAGTAGAGCAGAATAATCACCTTCTGTGCCTCACATCTGATGCTTTTGTTACTCTTACCCATAAGAGGTTTTGTTTTGGTATCAATGGGTTTTAAGTCCTAGTCTGATCTGCTGTAATACTCAGAATACTCATCACAGAACTGCCTCCTTCCCTGACAAGCTGGTGCCCCTAACACTCAATCCATTTTTTCCCTACAAATTTTACATGGCCAGTCTGTTCTACCATCCAGACTATTAATGAAAACATTGAAAAAAAATCTTATATTCATTGTTCTTTATCCTCAGTATGTTAAAGAACCTTAAATCAAAGAAAAAGAAAACTTTAGCCAAAAAAAAAAGAAAAAAAAACAAACCAAAAAAAAACTTTAAATAGACTAAAAATCAGTAGCTCACAGGCCAACATCAGCAAGTTACTAATGATTGTCCATAAACAAATTAACTTTACCTTAATCAGTAATACAAGTCAGGGGTAATGTGGCATTAGCTTCAAGTTGCTCTATCTACTAACATAAAATCTCATTTACAAATACTTATGGTTAGAGGGCATCTTCTCTAGTGCTGTCATTGATGGCTTTTTAACTAGAATAGCATGAAGTCCTACAAACCAATATGTTTTTAAACTACATATAAAATTATTCAGAGGAATATTATGTCAGCATTTTCTTACTTTGGAACTAGAACTGTCAACAGCATTGTCTAAACTTAAAATGGTCAAAAATATAATTGTATGGGTGTGAGTACTATAGCATTACTTCAAAGGTTTTTGTACTTATATAATAAATTAAAAACATCTAGGAAAGCTCCCCCCGCCTATTCCACAGTTAATTTTACGTTTTTTATTGATCCAGTCTTAAATAATGCTGCTTATTTGGTAACAATATCAGGCAAAAACATGAGCAAATGTCATTCTGCATTCCATTATGAATCATTCAATAAAGTTGTGCAATATATACATTTTATCCAGCTTCTGACATTAAAGGTCATCATGCCAATGAAAATTTTTAACAATACAATAAAATCCTTCAAATATAAATGCTTACGAATGTAATTCAAGAGACAAACAATTTAATTTTCTGAAATTTATATCACTCATGTCCATAATAATTTTACATTTCACACTTCATGCTCTCAAATGTTACCCTAGAGAAGACTAAATCTCTTTGCCACATATACTATTAAAGACACTAGCCAGGTTTATAGAGTTACAGAAGACTATAATAAGATGTAAAATTTAGTAGTAATAAGTTATGACATTTGCTGACTAAACCATTATTCAGTCTACCCTAATGTTTGACCGCTCAAATAAAATAAGTATTTGGATGTTATATACTACCCATTTCATATACTTACAGTGCAAAGTAAGAGACAATTTTTTTTCCTGAGCATTTAGGAAATGAAAATCCTTTTTCTTTATCTTTAATTACAGTCCATTTAAAATATACTCCTCACATACCTAGGCTTGTCAAGACTGTACAATTAAGACAGGCAAAAGTTTGTAAATACCAGAAGCCCAATAAGGAATCAGAAGGGTTACTGAACATCTCTAAAATTTGTCCCTGTTTTTCAAGTTTAAGGATATAACAGGATTTTGAGTTTTAGCAAAAAATTCAGAAATTACATTTTTCCCATAGACCAAACATTCCAAAATGTACAAACCACATGCCTTCCAAAACAGAAAAACAGCCGCTATTTAAACAAACTGCAATACATATTTCAACTTACTATTCTGTAGTTAATGTAATGCCCAGTGAGCTGTGCCTCCAACAGACATAAGAAAATAAAACTTTTAGGAATGTGTTTTGGGCATCTTGTAAGGAAGCTGGATTCCTTACAAGTTCATCTTTTTCTCAATAGCTACAGACCATGAGTTTCTAATTCAATCTTCTCTTCTGTTTGCAATATATCAGGCTCTACTGGAGGAACAGGTGGTCTGAGTATAATCTCTGGACCTCCACCATATATTGACTGAAGAAAATTCCATGTTTCTTCTGATATTTGTCCAGAATCTGCACCTGAAAAAAAATTAAGATTTAATGACTATTTAGAATAATTCTTTCATGATTTAAGTCCAAAACCAATGCAAAAAGGAAAAAATCCTCCAGATTAAAATTCAAAACTGTAAAAATTCAGATCCAAATTTAATACCATAACCTTCATTTTTGCTTTATCTTGCATCAGCTGCCAAACTCAATTACATATTTTGTGTCCATACTTCTTGATTCTTACAACTACCTGCTCTAAATTATGCAATACTTGCAGAAAACAAAAAAATTCTCTGATAAACATCTTACCTAATATCTACCAATGAAGCTGACAGCCAGTAACTCTTGGTACTCAGGAAACAATCATTCATATTATTATAAGGACATGCAGTCACATCAATTACATAATAGAGTTCAAGGACTCAAGATTCTTGTTTCATCAGAGAAATTAATAGTAAAGAATATGAGAAGCACAGTGAAATTCCCAAAGGACTATTATTAGGATGGTAACAGCTGCAGCAATGCTCCTGTAGCACTGATGGGTCAGCCTGACTTCATTCACTGATTGAAGTCTTTGCTTATGATTCCATTGCTCTGGTGAGAGGTCTGTTTCCTGTCTCAAGTCAGCATCCAACAAGCATTTCTGATTGTCCACAACTTTTTACAGTGGCAAAGACAAGATGCATCAGCACATCTCCCTTCTAGTTTTCAATACAAGGATCTGTCTGATACTAAGTGATTTCCTCACATTAACCCACACAAAGAGATCATACTTCTGTTCTAGCAGAATAAGCCTCCTCTTTTTTAGCAAATCAAAACCCTGCCTGACAGCAAGTTTCCTCTGATAGCCTTACTAGACATTATTAATTTGTCTTGTTAAGCCGTGTTTCAGCACCCTCATACTTTAAAAAAAGGAAGTCAGCACCATAGACTTCTCCCCCTGCCTCCTGTACTTATCTGTCCTTGTTACCTGCTGCAGTGGTGCCTACTATTGTACTTCATCTGTTAAGATTTTCTAAAAGGGAAGGGTACAAAGAGCTGCACATTTGTTTAGCTCTGTTAACTCAACTATGCAAAGCTTCCTCGGGGAAGTCATCATGCAGATCCCATGCCAGTACTAATGATGTTATGCCTCACTTTTACTCTTTTATGTTTATGCTCTCAAGAAACAAGTCCATCTCTGCAGGTACAGTAGTAGATCTTCACTCACTCATCCAGATTGCAGCCAGTAAGGTTAAACTGAAAGGCACAGTGAACTCAGGCACTGGATCACAGAAATGTGTAGTACTGGACCCTATTTAGGGGCATTCCCACCTCTTACAACTTATGAGAAAAATTTTCCACATCCTATTCATCTTTATTTCTACCCAAGTTCTAATTTGTACCAATGTAGCTGAAAGTAAACCAACAACTGGCTAATTTGCTATCAATTACAGCTTCTAAAGTGATTTGTACTTGAATTCTATCATCAGCACTTAAATCATTAAAACATACTAAAAAAATCACAAGTGGCAAAACTCATTGTTTTTAAAATAAACTCTTGGTATTCTACAATTGGCGAGGTTTATGGTAGATTTATTGGTACCTCCAGTGTATGCTGAGGCATTATGCAAAACTGGGAAAAAAATCCAGTTAAATAAACCTTAATCTTATTGATGCAGAGTTTTCTTTTAGGCTGAGCTGCAATGAATTTAAATCTTCCTAGAAAGTCTAAAGCCTCCCTAATGCAGGTCATATAAGAATGTCTTCTTCTGTACCAATGAATTCCAAATAAATGGTATCTAGCATTTAACTCTGAAGAATAATGAAGAAATCTGTATCTTTGCACAAACTTCTTGAACGTGCAATGTACAGTATTAAATGACTTGCAGAAAAATGAGCAACAGATTTTATGTACAGTGGTTTTTACTCTGTGAGATGTTCTTCTATTCAAATTAGGTTTCAAGATTCAAATAACTACATACAGATATAGAACAGTCTCCCAATTTCGTTAAGAAAACCCCCATCAAACCAAGTGATACAAAGCCAAAGCACACTTTCACCATTTTCAAGCTACTTTGCACCTCCTACACTCTCAACTGCACTTGGATTAGTCTATTACATATAGTAACTATTTTAAGAATAAAATGATTACCCAAAAATGGGCACAACACAGATTAATTAGAAACTGCCATTCATTTTATAGTAACAATAAATAATTTTAAAAAATCGTAGATTTTCCAAACTTCCAGCAAATGCATAAAGCTGCAGCTACATTGGACACCTACCTTGTTTTAGCACAGTATTGCCACATTTTGTTACTGCAATCTTAGCATTATCAATGGGGCCAGGAGGATCTAGTGCAACAGAAAAAATATTAAAATTGGGAGAGCTGAAAACAAACAGCAGGTTGGAGGTTCTATTTCCAAAGGATAGGAAAAACAGATCATTTGTTTACTGCTTGTTCTTGTACTGCTTAACAGTACATTCTAAGTTGTTAAAAGCTAATCACATTTTAATTAAGAGCAAGTTTTCCAGAGCATTCCTGATTACAGTAAAGTCTTCAAGCAACATAAAACACAAATTAATCCTAATTCTTACCCTTACCAAAGCTGTCCTAGAGCAGACTTTGACAAGATCGTAGAACATTTTATCAGTTTCCATTTTAAAACTTTAGAGGCATCTGAAGTCAGCTAAACTGGTATTAGTACAGTTGTTACTGAGCTGAGTTTAGATTTGACAAGGTCACCTTTCCTCCAGAAGCTGCAGCATCATCTATCAGTTTCCACAAAAAAATCCATCCCCCTTGTAGTTAAATCCAATTTTCCTGCTGCCACTAACAGCAAACATCCTGCAAGCAAGCAACATTCTTTCCAACACTGTCCCATTATCCCATTGCTGTAAACTATTCTACTACGTTCTATAACCTGGATGTATTTGTAGCCTGTAAAACCTGTGTCATAGATGTTTAAGAGCTTTCACTCTCTTTGCCATCTGTCCTTCCTACAGTTTTCTAAGCAAAGCAGAAACAAAACAATACAACAGAAGATTACCTGTATTTTGAAATGGGGCACAACTTACCACTGTCTTTACCCTTTACAAAGCCTTCCCATTCCCTGAACCAGTGCATGCTGATGCAGTAAAATGTTGATGGAGATTCTTCTTCTTGGAATGCTCTATTAAGCTACAAGGAAAAAAAATCTGAGGATTTTTGTCCTTTCATTTCTTTAAACTACTGAATTCTTTGAACCACTGTACTAACACCATAACATTACATTGTAACAGAACATTTTAAAGAACTATTGACCATAAAAACAGTAAACACCTGGTGAATACCCAAGATGAGATTCTGATGCAGTGGTAGCCTTCATATTAAAAGCTGACTTACTATTTAGTTGAGAAATTACTTATATTTTCTGAAAAGAGCAACAAGTTGTTCTTAAGCACAAGTGCTTACAAACACTAATAGATAATTACTGTGAAGGCTGAACTCTCAAGTAGCAAAAAAAGCAGAGATCTTATTTTTGTAAAATAAAGCAGTGTTTTGAAATTTTTTTCCATAATTCTATGGAAAGTTCTTTGTGTGATGAACTGTATCTTCATCTGTGTTTGTTTTTCCTCAAATATTTTGAGCAGATGGCAGTACAATTCCAAGCAAGGCACAGTGAACTAATACATTGGGACTTTTCATGACTTGGGGATCTTTTTACAACATTATGAAGAAACAAGCAAAAAGTCACTTAAACCTTTAAACCATTATCTTTTTAGCTCTGTAATAACACAGCTACATTTCCCCTTTGAAGTCATAAACCTAAAGCATCAACACAACTTCTTAAGGTTTCATATAGACTAAGTGTCGCAATCATTCCCTAAAGCCATCTTTATAGAGAACAATAGAATTTTCTGTGTACTAACCAGTAATAATACTTGCACAACATATAATCACTGCTTTTAGTGGGAAGATATTGCCTGCTAAAGCAAATGGGGTTGACTCAATGCCATTAATAATAATTACTAACCCGTGGTAATCCAGCGTAATGAACATTCCTAAAAATTTAAAGAAACCATGGAAAAGCTGACAATCCCTGATGTGTGATTAAAGGATAAATAGAACTGAAAAAATAGAGTCAGTTCTAATTTTCTTCCTTTCATGAGTTGAGATAGCAGAAATGGAACTCCAGTGTCTCTCCACTTATTTTCACTGAAAACTTCAAAACACATTTTTGGTTTAAGAACATCAAAATCATTACCACTAGTTATTTTACCATTCAGCTTCAAGCACATAATCCTCTAACCCTGGGAAAATAGCTCCTTGATATTAATTTTACAGATCCATTTCAATACTAACATATTTACTTCACATTGAATTACTTATATTTGCTTATGTGTCTAATGCATTTTTAAAAATTAAAACTAATTATTATTACTACATTTTTCTTGGCACAGTATTATTGCCTTATCCTTATCAGATTGCACAGAACAGACCACTGGCAGTGTATAAAGAACAACTGTTCATGTGGCTGTTTCCATACTATAAAAAAGCAATTTAAGAGACTCATTAAAAATTTTCTCTAAGTACATTTTCATGTAAGCAGTTATCTGGGATTTCACAAGAATATTACTGCTGCCAATAGGAAAGATGGGGTGGTATATAGTATAGAGATATTTAATAAATTCCATTTGTTTCAGGAATCCCTTGTGCAATTCTAGTAATCCCTTGGGTCTAGTCATGAATGTCAGGTGTTGGCCAGCAGCAGAATGTATAAGTGTTTAGTTTTTTACCCGTATAAACATTTCCAATTCATTTTTCCTTCTTTTTTCAATTCTTTCAGACTCTATTTGGCAGGTGTGACAAACATACAGATGGTTAACAGCTGGTCCTCCTCCGTACCTGCAGTAAAAGTAAAAAATCCCAAACAATCAGCCTTGCGGAAAACATCATGTACAGAGATCATGCACCTGTAGGCGTGGCAAATGTCAGTATGAACAAAAGGCTGACACATGCCAATCACAGTGATCCCAAAAAGCCATAGTTTATTTTCCCAATAATATTCTGTTCTTCATCCTAATACCATCTTGCAATTTCTGACTGCCTCATGCCAGTACAAACCATCTCAAACTCAGCTGCATCAGACTTCAGAAGGAGTTACTATGGTTAGAACATGTCAGTGAGCAAGTACTGCTCTATATACAACAGGAGTGATTTTAGCGAAGGCCTTTAAGAAACAACCTATGGAAATTCCAGCCAGTTCTGTCTTAAGCATGTTCCTCCATCCCACCGCAGACTCTTCATCAGCTTTGCTGCCTCCGTTAAATGGAGGCATTTAAGGGAGGCAACAAACTTATTTATTTTTTTGTTCTTAACAGGTTATTCTTGACCCTTCCTTCAGGTTTTCCCTGTGTGAAATTATATCCATGAAGTCTGCAGGGGCACTGATCCTGAGAAAGCCATTTTTGCATACAGAAAATGGAAGAAAAATTCAGTACATATAGGAAATGGGAAATAAACTGCAAATACCATTGTTTTTATTTTTCACTTGTGTGCACCAAAACTTTAAAACATCTATTAAAAAAACTCCCCAAACCCTTAGATGTATTGTTTAGGTGGCAGGAAATTAACAGCTAAAAATATTTAATGTAAGTGCAATAGAGAGTGTTGAAAGCCATCAGCAAAGCTCTTCTGCAGCTTTTTGTTACTTTAGAATAAAGCACAGCTTGTGAGAATTCTTCTCTTGCAAGCAAGCACTCAAACCTGACTGACATTAAAGCGTGGGGCAGTAACACAGAACACTCAGGTATAAGTTATTTTGAAGCAGTACTGGCAGCTGAGGCTATGGATTCAAAGCCAACATAAAAGAAAAGCTGTCTCCAGCCAACAAGAGAACAGGAAGCTGATACAGAGAGCTCATTCAAAAAACCTCTGCAAAGCGTACTTTTGCTGACCTACTTTGTGTTATTTCATACATACCATACATGTTTATCGCTTTAATATTGAAGTACTACCCCAGTAACACACTATTCTATGCAGTGTTTTACTTTGCACAAGGAAATTATAAAAATTGGCTCTTTGCAGCCCCTTCAGTCAGCTGTGTGCCCAGAGCTGAGCTGTGTCTTTTTCCCGAGCCACTAATTCTGAAGTCTGATGTTGCTGCTTGGCTCTCAAATTTTATCACTGGATTTTTTTCCAATTACAATTTAAAACTTACCTGCTATACAGATTGTCCCATATATTTTGAGGTAGCATTACAACAAGATCCTCTATGAAGTTAGCTTTGTGTGGAGGAACACCTGCAGAAAGAAGAAAAATAAAAAAAAAAACCCAAACAATGAAAAAACACTTGTGGATTTAAGTGAGGGGAGGAGACTATGTTAGAAGTCCATAAATAAATAAAAAATAGAACCTTCCAATGAATTCAGAGAAATTACATGAATTAAATTTTACCTAGGCATAATCTATCACTGTATTTAGAGACACCACTGATTTTAGTCTTTTATGGGGCTGAAAAGCTTATAAAACGCAGATGCAATCTAACTATATGAATGGCTAAAATTAAAGGTCTAGAATCCATTTTATATAATGGGTTCAAAAAGCTTCTTAAGGTATACAGTTAAAATGTCAGTATGATTAAGTATCTTGATTATGCATGTAAACACTAACAAACTGTCTATTCAAAATTTATTATTTGCTGCAGACTTTTTAGAATTACTTCAAACAGCATGAATACTTGAGAGCAGAGAAATTTTGAGGAAGGCAGAAATTGAGGGGCTTGCAGAATTAGTGTTGAGTTGAGCACATGGTAAACAACAGTGGACTATGCAGGAATTCTTGGGAGCAGAGAAAAACAAGTACTTGGGCACTTGTACATCAGGAGTCATCTGCTGCAGGGGGAAAGCCAATGGGGTCACAGGTACTCTGCAGATGGCTGAGTAGGGACACAATCATCCTGTGTTAAAATTTTGCTTCAGCAACAGGGGCAGCACCTCCATCTTCCAGTCTATTGTTACTTGTATTTTTAATATAAAATAGGTACTACATAGTAATGATTTCTTGGAATGTTAGCACTCAAATATGGGTATTTCCCCACATGTGTTTTGCTTACTACAATGCTTTTTAAAAAAAAAAAACAAAAACAAAAACAAAAAAAAAAAAACGTATAGCACAAGGTAAAATTTTTATGCTCCTACACAAAATACACAGAATTACTACTTGATTTTCACACTGCTATGCACTGGATACTCTGCATCAGATCAATTTCTTCCAAAGCAGGTTTCAAACCTTCTCACTGCTTATAGCTCTGAGCTGAGAAAATAATTTCAATTTACAGATTAAAGTATTATGGATGATGATACAGTGATAGTATTTTTTAAAATGTGACTATACATTGTTTAAGAAGCAAACAGATAAGAGGAACTGTTCCTCTTTAAGAATCAAGAAAGTTTATAAACAAAATCAAATATGCAGAGAAAAAATAAATAGGGTAACTTCACACAGTATAGCTTCTGATAAGTCAAAGACTAAAATAAGAAAGAATTTACACAGAAGTTGTAATTTACCAAAGAAGTTATAATATGAACTTAGTATAGTCAAATTCCTTTAATTAAAACAAGTTATAGCACTGTTATAGCTAGAAGTTGACAAATGATTCTTAAATGATTCACAGTTACAGTCTCACCTCCATGCATACAGAGAAAGTCATTATTTGAAATTGGTCCTGGCTCTGCAAAAGTCTTGAATTTATTTAACCACTGCCTGGAAACATAGAACTGCAGAAGACTTGGTTCCATCATATTCAGTAGCCCTGATATCCTCCGTCTCTCTCTCTGTGCTTCTTCACTGCTCTTTCTATTAGAGAAACAGAAATCATTAAACAAATACAGATCCTTGTGTACAGTGCAGATAACTTACTTTGTGAAAAGAAACTCTGCCTGTAAGTAAATTACCTGGGCCTTGTCTGCACTTCCCAGTTTGCACAGCCCAAGAAAGCAAACAACTGGGCTGTAAGAGAGAAGCCAACTGTGCTGCAGAGGTGGTGCAGCACCCAAGGGCTGAGCCCATCTGCTCAGTTCCTCTCTGCAGCATTTGAGATAAAGCTTTGCAAGCTGCACTCCTTGGCCAGATGTTCCTTCTTTACCTTCACAAGTAGTGTTACATAGTAAGCAGATCAGGTAATGCCCCTACTTTTCTCACTGTAAACTGGAAGTAACTCTGCTCTCCCATTTACTGATGGAATAGAATCCCTCTTCTCCAAGCCAGTACTAGTCTTTGGTGGATATAGTCTTTTTTAAAGCCATATTTTATTCATGCTATTCTTTTCTATTTATTTGAATATGTTAACCCACAATCAGATTTAGTGTTCTATCTTGGCAATATGGCACGACTTCCAAATTCTTTTTAAAAGGCCTACTAAGTGAGACTCATGGGCTCAACTTGAACAGTGGCAAGTGGGAGTGTTCCTAATGAAAGTTCAAACATTCTCAGAATACATCTGTTTTTTTATGCAACTCTGACACAACGTATTTTGCAGCCAATTTTTAGTGGAAATTTGATCTTAGTACCAGAAATTTAAAACCTGAACACTAAGTTGCTTTTATTATCTCAAGCACAAAAGTTCCCTAGACTGAAGATGATAATATGATAATAACATAACTTCTCACCTTTCATTTCTATTCTCAGAGAGTAGCCTATAAATAGCATTAAATTAAATGTATAATAAAATGTGTAATACAATGGATTAAATTACAATACAGTAAAACCTCTATTGCCCTACGTTCCATCCATCTGATAAAGACTTTGGACAATTCCAGTTAGAGCTCCAACAGTTAACTTTCCATATGCAAAACCTCCCTGTTCCTCTAATTGAAAATAAGGTGGCTAGCTCTTAATTGATGCTTAAAGTTCTCTTACTATGCAGATTTTATCTTCATTTGAAAACAAACACTTTAGCTCTGACAGAGCAAGTGTTAAGGACGTAACTGAAGGATTAATTTTTTCTCCTGCATAAGCTTTTCTCATTGATCAAATTCTTCCACTATAGTTCTCATGGGGCAGCTAATGCTGAAAGATGCCCAATGGCTTAAAAAGTTATTTACATACATGACTTATATAGGTATGACTGTACTTTATGAGTATCTTACCTGTAGAAGAGAACATAAGCTTCTGCATTTTGTACTGTGGATTCTGATACTTCTGTGACACTCTGGTCATCAAATTCATACCACAAGTTATTTAAATTGTTGCGACAATAAGCTATATAATGTCCACCTAGGGTGCAGGAAGCAAGAGTTATCGGAGTGTCTAGAGCTGCCCATTTTACTCTGTAACACATGAAAATGAACTAAAAAAACCCCCTAGTCTTAAATGGGAGAAACAGAATCATTAGCAGATCTGACTTTGAAATTAACTTCTGTCAAACTCAACATCAGCTTTTTTCTGAATTTCTATTAGCTAGTGGTGATTTGAACACTACTTTCAGCACATTCCTGCACTCTTCAAGCAGCATGTTGTTTAATACAGTCCTGAACCACAACATTCACAGTAAGATTGTCTGAACAATTTACCCTCAAACTCTTTTCAAATCTTTGTATACTTTATAATAGAAAGTAGCACAGGTATGGAATAGCTACATGATATCACAACCATAACTGTGTTTCAAAGACTATTCACAATATATTTTAAATTATTACTGTTTAAAAATACATATTTAACTGCTAATAAGTAAATAATCAAATATCTGCTAAACTGATTATGTGGAGCATGACTTAGCAAGGACTAAATGGAACTTGAAAAACCATCCAGTAAAACAAAAAATAAAAAGGAAAAAACTTCAAACAATGGATACTTTGAGAAGTATGAGGGGGTAACTTCCATAAAAATCTATTACTACCCACAAATAGCAGTTGCCACCTGTTTTGTGGTTAAATGGCAGTGATCATCCAAAAGAACATATTTTAAAGAAATGACTGGTATCTTTACGGTGCTTGGTAAACAGTTTCCAAATATTAAGGCATACAAAGCATTGACATGAACAGCAGTTGTGTAGAGCAGTTGATAACTGGCCATCTGCTGGCAACATTACTTGTACATTGATGTTGTTCAACACTTTTCTTACTTAATATTCCTGGACCTGTTAAATCTTTTCAACCTTCAGTTTTATTTAGGTATGCCATATAATTTCAAAGATGTGCCAACTCTTTCAGAGCAAGCCTTAAATCTTTCGGATCAAGGTAAAAATCACAGCATTCATCTTCCACATTCTGAAAACCATTATTTATCTATTTACCCTTCAGTATATATTTATCATCCTTGAAGAAGAGTGCTGGTGTACCAACTGCAAAGATTAAACAATCAAGCTCATACTCACTGCTGGCAGTTCCATGGTGGCAGATGACAGACAGGAGATCATAAGTCACAATTTGAGCTGGACTGTCCTTTGCAAGGAAAGGCTGAAGATCAAGACCTTCCAAGGGAAAGGACACGTGGGTCCCAATTTTTGTGGAAAACATGAGTTCATGTCTAAATCTTTTGAGATGAATGCACAGAATCTGCAATAAGAATTGACAGATTCAGTCAAGAACTACACATGCTATTTGATATTAAATACCTAAACTGTGTGCACCATATTTTCCTTTTATAATCCCCAAAATAATAGTTTTTCCTATGACCTCAAGCATATTCACAAGGTCTGTGTTTTAATCAGCTATGGCTACTAACATTGATGCAGCACTGAAAAATGTACTTTTTCTCAATGCACAATCTTGTAATGAGGGACACTAATTCCTCCAGATTATTGCAGGCATCAACTCATGAAGTGTAAGACTGGATTACTTTCTAAATGTAAAGCTACAAATGTTACTTATAGAAAAGCTTTCCAGTCTGGCTGTGGTGTTTAATTCTTTGACCTACAGTATAAACAGTATTATATATACTAACACAGAATAGAAATGTTATTACTGCCCACAGACCAACACGTGATAACAGGGAAATCCCATTCCTGTACTTGTCATGTTCAAGATTCATTTTCTTACAGGGTGAACAATCACATTGCTCACATCCTTAAAATAATGCCAATATGAAGGTAGACTTTCCTCACACAGCATTATAAACACAATTTACTCCATGCAACTCATTAATCTTACCACATTCCTAATCATGCAGAAAAATTGCTTTAAAGTGCATATTGTAACAGTACCTCAGGAAATTTTTGTACTTTGCAGAATTTCACTCCATTTCTTAACCTAAGCAAAGGAAAAACCAAACCAAAACAACCAATAATTAATTCTGAAAAGGTTTTACTTTATTGAGCTAGATCAGCAAAAGCCTAAGCTGAACATTGCATTAGTAAAACCAAAATATTTCTGAAATGTAGACTAGACATGGAGTAGCCAAAATGATACAAATAATGATGGTACCTAAGCCAAGACAATCTGTACTGCTGAAAAAATTCAAAACAGCAAGTACAATCAAGTTCCAGCTAGCTAATAGTTTCTCTTAACATAGAGGAAAAAACTTGAGGCTTCATAAAAGCTGATTATCCAGCAAAAGACAAAAAAAAAAATGAACTAAGTTTACTTCTTAGAAATTATCTACAGCACATATAAGAAGGAATAACACTCTTGTACATAAAGGGCTTCAAGCAGTCTTCAGAACACTTCTGTTTCTAGTTTTTTTAGTATTTAAAGCCATAGTTTATCTATTTAACACACCTTAGTGACCTACTGCATATCAGGGGAAAGCTGCTAATAGTAGAGAGGGCTAAGAGCTTTTATTTTGTCAAACAAAACCAATTTACATCTAAATTGGAAGGGCATGAGAAAGAATTAAACACATGTGGTAGGGTAAGTCAGTGCTTCCTTGGGAAGTATTCCTTGGGAATACTGAATTTCCGACAGTCAGAACACAGGGTCATATCAAAAGATGAACCGTACTGGGACATACCCAAAAGAAATAAATGTCTCTTGACTAACAGAAACAGTAAAACCTCAAATTAAGACAAAATAAAACAAAGGTAAAAGCCAGCTTACTTTTTACACCTTCCACAGCTGTACATGTTATCACCTGCAAACATCAGGGAGAAGAAGAAAACCAGCCATCATTCTCTAAATCCAAACAATTATCTTTTGAATGTGTACATTTTATAGAAAAAAGTATAAAGGGAATTTATGAAGGGAAGGTTGCATTCAATATTTAACAGTCATAATAGTGTTGACATAGCAACTACAGGAGAGGTTCTTATGTTTTATGTCTTCAACTATGAAACAGTACAGTCTGAAGAGATGAGGCTATATAATTTAAAAGGGAAATAATTTGTGTCCAAATTGAGGTTATGAGAATGAATATTAATACAGTGGGTTTGAAATTTTTATGAGACTTCAGTTGATACAATTTCACTAAACCAAATTCAGACTGACTTGACATTTCTAAAGCAGCTTTCATAAGCATTTATCTCAAAGACTCAGTTGAATGAGAAGCTTACCTTTCTGAAATGAATGATCCCAAAAGAACAAGGACTGACTGTATTACACCTTAACAGGTAGCCTCTGCATTTAACTGCATTAAGCTAAGAAGATATTAATCATCTCATTGTGACAGGAGGAAAAAAAAACCACAGAAGAAATATGTTCAGGTAATTAACCTCTTACCCTTGAGCTCATCTCTGGCGAAAAAGGCAGCAAGACAATCTTGTAAGGTTACAACTGGACCCCAAAACCAGCTAGGAACACATGAGACAACAAACCTGAAACATCATTGACAGAAAAGAAAGAAAACCAACAAATGTTCTGCCAGAAGAGCAGAAACTAGAATTTCAAAATAGATAATTGAATCAAACAAGGTAAATATTATTTACCTTTTGAAGTATTCCATAAAAAAGGCTATCCATCCTTGGGGGGCATATGCTTCTCCACATGACCCTGCCTTGACTAGAGATGTCTGATGACTTGCAGAATGGAGTTTAGCAAGATCTTCCTTACCTGGAATAGGCAAGGACAGATCCTGAAAGGTCTCCAGGGTTACAGACAGCTAAGGAAGGAAATAAATGAAACACAGTAGAGTTAGGCTTGAAGAGAAATGGTAATTACACTGAATTCCATAAAGTTCCTTAGTAGCTACCAAGTCACTGCATAACTGAAAATTCCACTAGGTAGGAAATTAATTTAAAAAAAAATTTAGAATTAACTTGCACATTGTTACCAATGAAACAATTTTTTTAGGTCATTATTATTTTTCTTCTTATCAGTCATACAAAGCACTATGATTTTTGCCTCAGGCTGTGTTACACAAAATAGTTTCAGAAAGCTTCAGTCCATTGTTTCCACAGTATTTTAATCTGATATTATATTGACCTGGTGTAAGTGGACTCACTGCAAGGGAGACCCATCTGTGCATTTTCTTGCTCCTGTGCTTCATTTAGTGGTCACAGAGTCAAACATAAAACACATTTTACAAATTTTTGTTTGTTTCTGAACTTGTTCACCAGATTACCCTGAGGACAAGTTCAGAAAGCAGCTGCAAAAGTAAGTGTCTTTACTTGGATTTTTTGAAAGACTTTATTTTGTTAGTCTCAATCTGATAAGACAGTTACAGCACTATATTAGATCACTGTCTTATCTTTTCTTTGAAACATAGATACCTCAGAACTTAGGACAGTAGCATATATGCATTAGGATAGTCAGAGCATTATTAAAAGCTAATGAGACCTAAATGAAGTTGAAGAGCAAGCGTCTTTGTTCATCCTTTCTGTAAACCAATTTTCAAAATTTTTTTTTTTTCAGCTCAATGAACACAAGCTATTCTAAACACAAAGTGCTGGTAGTAGCCACTATTACAATTTGAGACGAGTATGAAATACCCCAACCTTCCAAGGAAATCTGTGACAAAAGAATATAAAGTATATATGAAATATAAAATATATGAATACAGAGAATGACTGTATTCATAATGCAGTAAGAAAAGAACATATTAAAAGCCAGAACTTTCTCTTCTTACCCGATCACAAGTTAAGCACTGGACTGAACTTATTATAGTTCCATCAAATATATCAGAGATAACACTCCTGTACTTCTTGCGCTTCTTCCTTTTTGGTGAAGATACTGTTGAAACTATAAAATGACAAAAGTAAAATGCTGCAGTAAGACAAAGTACAGTGGATTCTGATTACACTTCAGCTTTGTGTAATATAATTAGGAGTCTCATGTTCAGAGTTAAATTATGAGCCAAACCCTATTTTCTATTTACTAAATATTTCCTAGGAATTACGAGATCACATTACTGCCATTACAGGCAAATAATGTGGGTTCCTCAAGCAGCTGGGGACAACCACCAGAAACATTTGCCTCTCTAAGAAAAACTCAAACTGCCAGTCTTGCAATCTACAGCCTATTGCTACATGATGGATTTATCTTGGCGGGAATTCCTCAAGGTATAAAAAGGAACATTTTATTTGACAGTTAATATGATTGGATGTTCTTGGGAAGTTTCAACCATGCTGGGCTAAAGAGCAGCATCACAAGGTTACTGTATCACAACACTGATGACAGAGCATTGAAGCAGACTAAAGGTACAACTGGAGTCCAGCCTAACAGCCACTTAATAAAAAACCCCAGGTCTCTCAACCTCTCCTGGGCAAGTAGCAGTGACCATGCACCTCTTCTGACAGACTCCCTTCAGGTTGTGTAAAACCCTCCTGTAATGGTGAAGCTAAAACTGGAGACAGTAGCACAGATGCAGCATCAAAGCTGCTAAATAAATAAACCAAGGAGGTCAGTGATTTAAATCCATAAAATCACTGTCATACAACACCAATGCTAAAGCATTAAAAAGATAACATCAGTGTTCAGAACTTATCTGGACAGGCTACTGAATGAAGCAGGATCACAAAGTTGCATTAGTTTTTGGTGCAATGCCTTAAAAGCATGTTCTGAAAGACAAGCTTCATTTAAAGTAATCTACTGCTAGACAAATCGGGGGGGGGGAAATTATATATTGTTCCTCATGTCCTAAATCAGCGCTGTCTTATGTGTAAAGGCAGTAAAAGTCTAAATATTCAAGTACTGCAGTGCCAAAAGAAATACGCAGAACTACAGGGACATTAATAACCATGAAGCAGCCAGCATTTACACGTTTTCCTATTGTACAATTACACATCACTCCTTAAACCTTAATTGACTAAAATGGTGATTTACTGAACTTCTGCTGAAGAAACCAATGAGCTTTTCTCTGGAGAGCATTACCTTTGGGGGTACTAACTTCTCATACCTTTCTCTTCTCTCCAAACTGGTGCAATTGAGAAAATTGTCTAAAAATAATATTCTGCCTTCCTAAAATAGAGGCACATAGAAGGTTTCAAATGAACCAGAAGATTATAGAAATACAGGGAGCAATCCTGCATGTCCAGCTTACATAACACTCCCTTCTCCCCACCAGGAACAGGGCTAAAATCCCCTTAGGAATAACACTTATGTCAGTTACACAAGACATAACAAACACAATGAGAACTATAATACAGAGTAATTCGGTACCAGGAAGGAGAAAATAAAGAGCCTCTACCTTTTTTGTGGACTTGTGCCAGCGAAGAGCATGACGGGAATGATTTTGGAGGGCTGCTTGATAAGCGTGTGTTCATCCCTTCAACTGATGACGGTGTCTGGGCTGCAGATACGTCATTCATGTGAACGTCATTCATGTATTCTGCAATTCAGATTTGCACAAATTCTATGAAAAAAGTTACTGCAGAATGAACAGATACAGTGGTCATGTAATTTATTTAACTACACTGTCAGACCACTGGACATTTAGGTATGTAGCATCATTTCAGTTCCTTTTAAGTTAAGAACAAAACAAAAAAAACCCACTCTTCTGGTTATCTGAAACCTTACCCCAATACAAACAGTTAGCTTGCCAAAAGAATTAAAATCTAATTCAGAAGACCTAAACTGAAAACACTAAGTAGGGACATGGTTTACAAGTAAAACCACTCACTCTATTTGACCTATACCTCTACTATATTCTACAACTCACTTCTACTCCCACAGATATTCTGGCTAAGATTGTGACTATTTCAATTGCACTTCAGTAATTCATTACCTGAGAATCTGCTGTGTATCTGTACTTTGACAGTTCCTTGGTTATTTAAAAATTCAGTGGTCTCTGAAGTGGTGTTTGTGTCTTTTTCCAAGTCTTCCATAGAATTTGCTCGTTTAAGTTTGTTGCTTGATATTTTTTCTTTCTGCCAGTCTTTGGATGTGACTGAGTTATTATCATCATCCTGAATTAACATGGTTGTTTCTGCAGGATCCTCTATGACAGGTTTGAAAATTGTGTCATTTTCTGTTTTATCACAGTTACTACAGGATTCACAGGGCTGAAAGCTTAAGTCTGACTGGCTTTTATCTTCTTCCATACTCTCTTCAACACTCATAGGCTGGGCATCTTCCAGTTCTACAACTGGTTCTTTAAGTTCCTCATGAAGCAAATCCATTAGACAACGCAAAAATTCTTGTGCGTCCTAGAATTTTAAACAAGTTTTACTGTATAACTCTATTTTATCTGGAAGATATTGACATCAGAAAAGATACAGATAAGTAAAATTAAAGCTGGCTGTTAATGTAGAATAAAGGAAGTTGCTCTGTCCCAGGTCTAATGTTCAAAACCACTTTCATTTCCAGACCATGTATGTTTCCTGCATACAATTCTTGCATGTCACAAGTAATTTTATCATACAAGTTTCCTCCAAAACACTCCAATTCCCAAAATAATTTACTTTAACAACACCAGCAAAAATGCTGCCATAGCTCACTGGAACAATAAATGTAACTCAAAGAAGCACCAGCAATATGATCAGATCCCAGCTCTGCTTGTAATGGAATATTTTATAGAAGGTTTTTATAAACCTTATCCAGGAAATCAACCAGAGCCTTGCTTTCACTGGGTATGAAGTAAAATTACTATGATGTTACTTAGCCTGTCTTTCCAATGCATCAAACTACCACCAATACTACAATTCTTCTTCTAAAGCCTCAACAAGATTTCCCAAATGTGTTCCCACAAAGAGCTGTAATACTACAAGTCTAATTTGTGTTTGGAAACATCCTAAAAGCCACTACATTTCATCAATCAGTGCAGCCTGGTCCTTGGCAACAGAAAGTTTCCAATAAAGCAGGTATGCAAGAAAACAGCCTCTTGTTGTCAGCTACTACTGCTTTTACTTTCTTCTCTTTTCCTTTTTGTATTCTGGTTGTTCATAATAGTAATTTTTGCTGCTCAACATTCCTATCTATCATAGCAATTACTTATTAAGCTCAAAACTGCTGATTACAAAACATTTATTTTCTTAAAAATTGCAACTTACAGAACTGAGAAAAACCAGCATGCCTATTTGCTGGGAATCCTTTCACAAAAAAAAAAAGATTAACAAAAACATCAAGACACCGATTAAGAGATAAACATTCTTCATCGATGAGTGTAATTTTCTCCCTCAAGACTGGACCTGGCTGCCTAACTTGCACTTGCACTAGACTGTTGGCTGTGAAAGCCCTGCTGTGTTTTAGTTGCCATGAAACCTGCTGAACATACAACTGAACTATGATCCAGGCCTAACCTAAAAAGGATCTCATTAAGTGCTGCTCTGCATGGAAAAAAATATTTTAATCAGTGTTCAGAGCTGCAAGAATAAAGTTTCCATACAGTTTCTTTTTGGTTATCAAGGCTGAATTTCTGCTATTTCAGAAATCTAGGTGGCACTTTAGAAATTCATAAGCAGATTACAGAACATTAAGCTTAGTATTTAAACATTGACTTTACAGCTACATGCAGCAATTGAACATTAAAACATGTGTTCTCATCCTTCACTCCACAAACATTAAACATAATGGAAACAGCAAAATTCCTTTTAATAAATGCAGATTCCCAGAAGACACTAGTAAGCTTTTCTAATTACAAGGTTTACATTTTTCACCTAGTTCTAAAGCTTTTAATGAAGTGCTCCACACTGTATGAATACACCAAGATATTGTATGAAGCAGCAACTGAAGAAGGCCTTTGCTATATAATAATCCCTGCCTACTGATCAAGCTACCAACCTGTGGCTCCCATAACACACAAATGGTGGGGGGCTTTTTTCCAATACACTAAATGGAAACTGCATTCTGGGTAATTTTTTTAAACTTCATTGATAGACAAATATATAAAAAATCTGTTCTGTTTTTTTAATACCTTTATTTTGTTTTCTGGGACTGCTCAAACATTAGCAGCATTATTTCACACAAAGGAGTTCAAATATTATTACTTAAATTTTCCTGAAAGAAAAGGGGTTATTCTACATTCAAGGCCTTTTGAGAATTTTATATAAATATAAAACTAATGACTTAACTACAGATTATTCCATTTCAAATGATCTACATTCAAGTCATATTAGCTAAATTTTATGTTGCATTTGCTTTAAACAAATATAGGAAGCAAGGCACCTTAAGCATTAGATTTCTAATTAAGAGATAATTTTATGGCTTAGGCAGATTTAAAAGACATCAGAAAGTTTTACCTGTTGAGAGTAGCCTCGAAACATTGGATTAACAGTTTTAATTCCTTGAAATAAACCAGTAGGAACAACAGATCCAGGCCTAAAAAAAAAGTTTAAAATAAATAAATACTGAAAAAGAAAGCATTTAAATGGATTTTTTTATCTGTACTGGGATCACACTATTACCTGCAACTGAACACCAATAAAAGTAATCTTAACAACACATAATATTGGCATTGAATTATTAACTACATAATTTTTAAAAGCCTGTCACCCAACTGAAACAGTGACTGTATAAGGCCTTTTATGCACATTTTTGTCAGACAATCAGATGACAAATCAGACACACTCTTGGCTCTGTGCACAATTACTGTTTCTTTACCTTTGCTTTTATATTTTGAAGTATTTTCTTAGCTAGATATTACACAAATTCCGTATCAGGAAATAAGAGAAATTGGTACAACACAGAGTATAAAGTAGGTAAATATTTTATATGTATTTCTGGCAAATATAAGCTTTTTTAAGAGCTTAATGCCTGTCATCTAATCTATTTCTTGTCCTGTCTTTGGTATATATGAAAAAGAAAAGGTTATAAGGAGTGCTTTGAGTCCTGCAAGCCTTTCCTTCCTAATTTTTTTTTAAGAGGAATTTTGTGAACACATGAAATAAAAATTAGAAACCAAGGAGAGATTAATGCATCCCTCATGACTCTGGAATCTATTTATTATCATTCCATCACCAAAATGATTTAATACCTGCTTTTGTGCCAGAGTTCTGTCATCAGCTTGAGGTAACTTTTACAAATTGCAGGTTTCTTATCTGTTCGGGCTAAGCCCCCGCAGTCAAGAAAAAAGTGTGTCAAAGGTGGGCTGAATAAAAAGAAGAAAACAGTAATTTTTTCAGGCTGTTAAAATACAAGAGAAAATCTGCATTTCATACAGGATTATATCATAAGAGTAATGCTATGCTATAACTGAACAATTCCACTTCCTACATTCTTAAATGCTGCGACCAAGCATTTCCTGGCATGACAACTTCAGCAGTACAGCCATGCTGCTCCTCAAACGTGCTCTGACATTTCCCAAAGCACCAGAATTGTCTAATGGGAATCAAATTCAAGGCAATTCCCACAAGCTGTCACAGAAGTACATATGTACCATTCCAGCAACCCTCACCACAAGCCTAGTCCATAAACACCATCCCAAACAAATCTTTTCTCTAGAATTCAACAGGCCACAAGATGTGTGTAGGCAAATAATTTCTACTTAAATTATTATTTCATGCAGTGTTTACTTCATGCAGTGTTGCCAACTCACATACTCTGTCCTCTCCTTTCAACCTCCTTTCTGAAGTCACAAGCCTCAATGTTGGACCCATTTCTCTCCAAGAAAGGTGACCCCAGCATACTCCCAAAAGTTGGCATTTCTCAACAGAATATTTTCCTCATGGTGCTTTGTCCACTTCTTTATCTTCTAGAGAGACCTGCCTCAGTTCTCCTCTCTGTCATTAAAGAGCCTCAACGAGGCCCTTAGCCCTGCCCGCTCTTGGCCTGTGGCTCACAGTGACCCTGTGTGACACCTGCTCAGGACCTGCCACTCCTGCTGCAGGAAGCTTTCCAGCTGGGATCCTGTCCCTATCTCTTCCACTTCTGTAGATTTATCTTTCATGAACCTGTCTAGAATACCCATGGATTACATGGAATTTTGCACTCAGTCATTCCTACCATGACTTGGCACTGAATGCTCCATCTAACAACCAAATTCTGACCCTAATAACTCTTATCTTGAATTAAGAGTTTATTCTTATGCATTTCCTTTGCTTTTTCTGTAGCAAAGGAAAAAAATTACAAAAATCCACAAATCCAGTAACTTTTTTCATATCACCTTCTAATTTCTAAAACTGCATATATTCTTATTTAGGAGGCATTAGAATGAAACAGAAAAAAAGCTGAGGGGTCCATACACCATAATAAATTATTTGCAGTATATAAGACTGAGATTCAACAACTATATGTTCTCTTCCATGGTAGTGCATTTCTCCAAGCCCCTTAAGCCATTCTGGAAAAAAAAGCATGCACAAGCAAATATAAAATTGCATTAACTATCATTTTCCTTACCAGTTGGAAAGAGCTTGTAAAGCTGCATTCATGTAACAAGTGTTTCCAATATTTTTTAATCCTGTTAGACCTGGAAAACCGAATAAATACAAATCTGTTAATCCAACAATTCCTAGAAAATATATACTAATCAAAATACTCATGGACCATTTAGGATGCCAATTATAATGCAGAATTGCAACGAAAAGAAACATAGGACTCCTAAACAAATACCAATCTAACTAGAAGTAGTAATTAAGTGTTCTGATCTCAACTGACTAAAGAACATTTCAGACAAGTGGATTGTATTTCATCTTACTAACTTTTCATGGTTTGTGACACCTGCAGATTGTAATTTAAAATATGTGTATCAACACTGAAGTTTTACTTCAGCTTAATGACTTACCTGTTCAGTTAAATTGTTGCTACGCTGGATTTGTAACTAATCACATTACCAAAAGCTTCTCAAAGATTTCACTCTTCTGTCCCAAATTCACACTAAATCAGATTACGCTCAATATTCAAAACCTACTCAGTATGTGATTATCCCAGGCTAGTCCTGCAATTAGTCCTTTTCTATTCCAATTATGTAACTTTATTTTTATTAACAGATTTATCAATTTAGACTTTCTCACACAGTTTACTTTCTAACCTACACTGCTTACTTTCTTTGCAGATAGTCATATATACCTTTTCCACACACATAAAAGTTACAATTGACATATATTTTTTCCATAATTACAAATTATGCTATTCATGGCTACTAAAGTACTACATTAATGAAGTAATATATCAAAATAAAATTTACTTTGTATGAGGGAACAGTAACATTTCTAAGCAAAGAATCAGTAAGACCCAAAAATTTTAAAATCTTGACAAATTTTCAGCAATCAGTACTGATGACTATGGAAATCTTGAGGTACAGGAACTCTCCAGGTAGTTTTGGTCTATGGCAGAAAAATAAAAGTTGCTAATAAAATCTTTCTATAGCTGAAAACCACTTGGGTTACTTCAGTTACAATTTCTAATAGATAGGACTTCAAAATTAAGTATCTTTCTGAATGGAAATGTAGTCCTGCTTCCTGTATCTGAACATGCATTCCAAACTCTTCTACAAAGAGAATAATCGTTCTTACTGAAACTGGAAAGCACGAACAGTTAGAAGATTTTGATTTTATTTCAGTTTTTTTTTTTGGAAGCAGCACATATTTCAGGAAGATACTCTCACTGCATTTTTCCAGCCTGTAGTATTGCAAGGAAAGTTTTCAAACAGACTTCTTTTCTTGTGAAAATATATTCTAATGTTTGCTTCATCAAAGCATTTCAAAAGAAATTTTAGGATCAAAGTTAAAACAAAGCTAAAAAGTTTCTTCCTTTCAGTTTGAATAAGTATCTTAATAGTCACATCATCATTACTGGAACTTTAATGCAATTCTAATTGTATATTATTGTAACGTAAGCTGCATTCCCCAAAATATGAATAATACAAGAAGAGATAAAAATACACAAACAGACACACTGGTTGCAGAAACTAACTAAGAGTAGAACACATGGTGTAATGATGTAAGGGCAGATGGCAAATTAGTGGGGTGGTGTCACATCCTGTAAGACTGTGCCAGACAACAGAAGGGACAAGGCAGGTTTTCTGACCAATGCCAGCAGGCTTAGGAGAGGGAAAACTGGGAGTAGCTGAGTGAAGGAGAAATGAGACCCATTGCTGTGGTCCAACTCCAGCCAGCAACTCAACACCCCAGAGCTACTCACTCACTCCCTAATGGTGGGATGGGCAGGGAATTGTAAAAGTAAGAAAACTCATGGGTTAAGACACTTTAACAGGTGAAACAAAAGCTGTTTGCACAAGCAAAGCAAAACAAGGCATTCATTCACCACTTCCCCCAGACAGGGAGGTGCTCTGCCATCTCCAGGAAAGCAGGGCTCCATCATAAATAATTGTTATTTGGGAAATCAAATGCCTTAACTCTGAAAGTCCCAATCTTCCTTCTTGCTTTCCCAAGATGCCACATGTTATGGATTATCCCACTGATCACTTGGGTCAGCTGCCCCTGTTGTGTCTCCTCCCAACCTCTAGTGCACCTTCAAAACACACCCTGGTGGGTGGTGTGAGAAACAGAAAAGGTTGACTGTGTGTAAGCCCTGCTAAGCAATAACTGAAACATCTCTACATTATCAATTTGGTTCCAGCACAAATCCAAAAACACAGCCCCACAGCAGCTACTGTGAAGATAACTAACACTTGCCCAGCCAAAACTGGCACATGCATAAATTAGAATAACTTTTGTCTCATCATTGATGGAAAACAAACTGCCTTGACATATGCAATGGTATCTCAAAAATAACAGCTTAACAATCTGCTAGTTATATTTTTCTGAAAGAAATGGTACTTAGCAATATTTTCTTTACCATCAAATATACACATAGTTTTTATAATTATCAATAATAATTAGAGGCCCTTAAGAAATAATAATTATTATGTTCTCTTATGAAATGAAAGATTAAAGCTTCACTGTTTGGGATTAGCTTTGCTGTTTAGGATTTCATCACTAATTTTCATCTTTACACTAGACTTAGTAGTAGGGTGAGGTGATCTTTGATAGGAGAAAGTTTGGCAATGCATGCAATCAGTTATGTCAAGGAGAAAACAAATAACCAAAACCGCACACTAGGATACTACAGCCTCAGAAAAGGATTATTCAAAATGCAGGAAAGTATTTAAATCAGGAATCTTTTAGGGCAGGCAAAACCAGTAGAACAGATTTTTAGAAAGCCTACTTGAACCAGAGTGTACCAACTGCACTGAACGTTACTTCAACATGCTTTGGCAACAGCCAAACTCAGGCAACAGTCTCTGCTCTGAGGATAAGAAAGATTGCTGCATGAAAAACTAAAAACTAAAAATTAACATCTGAGTTGGAGCAGAAAAATAATGCACCAGGTTTTGCTTTTATTACCTCTGGTCTTCAATTCATCTTCTTCCACTTCTATATCTAAGTCATCAAATACAGCTGCTAATGGAATCTTCAGTGTGGGATTACTGGGTATCTTAAAATCCTTAAAAGAAGGGAAAGAATATTTACTTTAATTCATCACTTTTCCACTTAATTAAGCTTATGTGTAATTTTACCAACAAATCTAGAACTGGAAAATTATGTTAATGTATTTTGAAATCTCAATGCACAGGAAGTGAGAACACCAGGATTTCACAGGTACCCTGAGAAAGTTTACTAAGAACCCCTCCATGTTTTTGTTATCAGATTGCTGCATGATTTTTATAATGACAGCTGAAGAACCAAAACAAAGCCAGGGACAGCATTTCTTCCCCCTGGATAACAAAGCAGCCAGCATGGAAGAGCTAAGGCAGGAGCCATCACCTAAACTAGGGCAGGTGTTTTTGATGTGCCACCAGATGGCTCACTACAGTTAATGAAGACAAATTAAACTCGTGAAAGAAAAATGTACAAACAGAGAAACCAACTATAGAGTGGCAGGTATTTATTGAATGACAGGCTCTTTTTGGGATAACATAAATAAAAACCCTGAACAAGATACTTCATAGACATTGCAAGTTCCACTGGTTTTTCTGTATATTATACCAGTTTCCTTGGAAGACTAAAAAGATTAAATATAATAGAACAGAAATTCAGAAGTCTGAACTCAGCTTTATATCAAGTAACAGAAATGTTTAGACAACAGGATTTTTTAAATTCTAATGACGATATTCCAATTGAGCTGCTAGCAGTTTATGAGAAAATGATCAGATTACATTCATATTAAATACTAAACTTCAAATTAATATATTTCATTATTACATATACTGAAAAACTGCCCATCTTTCTGTTCAACCTGTGCATGATTATTTTTCTTCTACTGCTTTATGTCTCAAGCAGAACACATTTAGAAATACTGTACTTCTACTCGTGACTATTTTAACCAAGTTACCTGTCATGTTTGTGTAACTACATTACACATGCAATAAAGAAGTAACACTTATTTTTTCAGCTTCAAGCATTATTCCTAACAATTGTACTTAAGAAATTACAGTGTAACTGTTTCCAAGACAACATTTATCTAAGAAAAAAATAGATCAGTGTGAACACTACTGATGCCAGTAAAGCCAAAAAAGTTTTATGAAAATAGAGAGAAATTAATAAAATTTCAGCCACAAGAATGGAGGAAAAGTCATTCTCTCACTTAAGAGAAAACAATGTTTACTGCAAAGCTAGAGCTGCCTTTGTTCCATTGGGTTAAAAAATACCTGCACACTGTTTTCTTGTGCTTGATGAGACAGTCTTGTACTTGGTAGCGGAGAGTGAGATCCTAATTTTCTGTCCAGGAATACTTCCTTACTACAGGCATAACACCAAACACGGAGAGTAGTAAGGTTGACAGTTAGACAGTGCTTTGTCTCCTAAAACAGAACAAAAACCACCACAACTGGGATTCAGAAACTGGGAATAACTAAATACTACTACATGCAAGCTAGAATAGATATATTAAAATTTTAGGTTTTTCAACAATGAATCAAGTATTGTTGACAGCTTTACACTCTGAAACAATATAAATGTTATAGATGAAGAATATTTTTCTTGTTCAAATCTTTAAAATTCTAACTTCCTTAATGTAAGATTGGGCACAAAATTGCTATTTTCCTCCAAATATTTTCACTAATTCTTCCTGTATTTCTTCCTTGTACGTCAGTATCAGCCCGGTTTATAGACAATAAAGGATTTTCAAGAAATTAGAAAAATAGTACTACTGCTGCAGGATGCCCAAATCCCTCCTCCCTTCATTTAACAAAATCTTGTACAAGAACAATGTTTTTAGTGTAAAGTGGGCTAAAATCTTATTAGATAGCACTCCCCCTATTAAAACCATCAGATTTACATAAATAAGTCAAACAATTTTAAACACAAGAATATACTTAATTCTGCAGCTTCAGATCCATACATAATTACAAGACTTCAGAGCAATGGCCTAATGATTTCCTTGGAGTGGATGCAATGAACACAACTGCAGTACAGGGAGTCTTGCTGGTGTAAGCTGGAGTAAGAAGAAGTTGATTCATGCCAACCTCACTTCTCTCATTTTAAAAAGTTTATTGATATTTTTATTAAAGAAGAATCCAGAAAAGTGCTTACTATCCTCAAATTAAAATTAAGTAACAAGAAAACTAAGACAAGGATGTCACTGACAGAGAATGAATAGCTTGCCTGCTTTCTCCTACCCAAAGTACATTACATTACTAAGGTAGCATGCAAAGCAGGAATGAACTACTGTAAGAAGCCAAGAGGTATAAAACTGTAGGCAAGAAATTCAGGGACCATCTGGTCCCCAACAACTCTAGAAATACCTCATTTCTGAGCCTATCGTAAAGGCTTTAGAACTGTGATTCAGCTTCAACAGCTGATAAAAAAACCCGTTAAAGTATTTATATATATTTATATTAATGCACTATTGATTTGTATAAATACTCTCTCTTCTCAAGGTCCTGCTTCAAAACAAAAAAACCCAAAACAATCAGGAGTGGTGGTAAAATGCAGTCATAACACCACTTCTTGGAAAATCCTTGTACTAATTATTCTTTCATTTTAATATTCACCAGGGTTTTTCAGTAATTTTAGGGATAAAAAATTGTTCTGTGTGGAACTTTAGATGCATTTACTGACAAATTAATGGCAAGAATTTCATTAGTCTCAAAATCAGCAACACAGGAATGACATGCTTATAACACTGCCACCTCTCTGTGCCCAGAATACTTTATTTTGGGAAGTGCTCCCCTTGCAGACGTGTGCCCAGGACACACAGTGACTCTAAGACCCAAAGCTATGCAAAGAAGCTGCCCAGCCCTGGCAGAACTTGGCATGCTGGGGAACAGTGCACACACTCCACTGCTCCCACCAAGCTGGATCCAAGATCGGGACATGGCAGGAGAGCATATGCTCAGCTCAGCCTACAGTTTCTTCCTCTGGAGCATACTGCAGAAACAGAGCATCTCTGTCTGATAATTCATACACCCTATCTTGCACCTCTTCAGCTGTCCATTAATGCATCTTTCCTCCTCTTAACCCATCAGACAGTCACAGAAATTTAGAGTGAAGTACTGAAGTACTACACATAAGCTGAGGTACTCAGTAAGTCTTTCATCTGTGCATCTTGAAAATCATCAGTACTTACTGGTTTTTTAATTTGCACTATCTTCTTCAGAAGAATTGCATAATTATGCAGCTGCAGAAAACTTGTAAACTCACATACTCCTAAATTAGCAAGATTTGCTTCTATAACATGAAAAACAATTACAGCTAATCAAACCTCCACACAGTTAGCTAACATAAGTTATTGACTTCATTGAAATAAAAGTTCTTTAACTCCATTTTTTCAAGGAACTGTGTTACCAGCAAATACACATACCTGGGAATGGGTGGTACTGTGGTCAACATGGGATTCACCACAGCCAACATACGTACACTTGTTCTGTTGGGCAAGATACACAGAAGTATACAGAATTAAAAAGAGGTCTCAAACAGGTTTACAGAATAGAAATATACCATCAGTCCCTTTAAAATCCACGCCAATTTCAAGCTTGCAGAGTCCTTCACAAACCGAGAGACATGCACAGTAAGCAATAAAATAAATACTACCTAAAGCAAAAAAGAATGCTGCAAGATTTAACTCAACTTCTTGCACTTATGGGCAATATTTAGAATATAATTTTTTGGGCAATTTTCAAATATTTATTGATATTACTGACAACATGTATTTTTACAATTCCTTGTTTGGTAAAGTTTGTTACAGATAATACAAAGTTAATCCAGTGTCTGAGTGGTGAAATACTGACTGGTAACAGCCTCAGACGTGTTTAAACAAAAATCCCTGCATGCCCCTATCTGCAGTGCCTACTCATCAGAGCATTACTTCACAACTAATTAGCTTCTTCACTTTTACATCAGTTTCCAGCACTATATGGCTAAGAACTCACCATGTTCTAGTTATAACATGCAAAATAATTGCCAATTGTAATCATGCTCATTGCAAAATATATTTGGCTGAGTTGAGTGTGGAATCTTGCAGCTGCTGATCTTCAAGCAATTTTTGCTAATTCCTCATTTGCATGAGTCAGGCCAATCACACAGGAGGGTACAGCAGGTTATCTGTGTAACTCTCTAAGCATGTTAATTTATACAATCAAATAGTAGCTGAACATGGCCAATTTTCTGTATTAAATGATCACAGATATTTGATAAGTTACACATCCTTTACATGCTGGGATCTCACCAGGATTTTCTAATGAAAAAGGTGAAGACAAGATGCCAATTCATCCAAGAGGAGAAACATCACAGCATGACATTAAGTGTCCTACTGCAACTACAAGACTCTCCTATGGAAATGTTGATATAAAATTTAGTTTTTCAGTAACAGTCTAGGAGCTCTAGTGAAAAATAAAAAACATCTTTTAAGCTTGACAGCATTTTCCCACCTGTCAGGCTGATGCATCCCTGAACACTTCTTCCTCACTCCCAAAAGGATTTTTTTATATATAATTAAAACTTCAGGCCATCTAACAAAAGACATTAAACACTGTTTCTTTCCCCCTTCATCTCTGTTACTGAGAGAAGGAGCAAAATAATCTGATCTCTTAATTGTTACCACTGTCTACCTAAAAGGACACAAACGAAGGGGATTTTAAAAAATGATCATACATACACTTAAAGGGGAGCATTAGGCACCCTTTAGAGATCCTTCTGACAGTACTTAAAGAAAAGCTGCCACTAAATTAAGTCAAGCCTACAGTGCAAAATTTCAATCTCAGTAAACAGCTGTAAAAAGTCCAAAGAACTCACAAGACATTTTGAAAACTAAGTTAACTATATGCTTTCCAGTTGGGATCTATGATGCAACATATTTGTATTTTCTTTAAATACAGTGAAAGTTACAGTTTTTTGTAGACAGCAAGAAGAGTCAGGCAACAGGATATTTATGACAGAGCTACACCCACCCAGGGTAAAGACTGTATGAAATTTGTACAAAGGAGAATGTTCATAGGAATAATATATTATTTTTTAGATCTACAGACCAGGGAAAAGATTAAAAGAACCTTCAAAACTTAACAGCTAAAAAGTATCATAACTCAAGTAAAATCACGAATATGCTATCTTCCTTCTTATAAAAAAAATCACATTTTAAGCATATTATTCTTAAATTACAAGAAGTATGTACCCGATAGAAGGTAAATAATTTAAAAAATAAAGAACTGCAGAAGCAATTTTGCTTTTAAATGATAAGTTAAACAAACTAAATCAAGAACTTCATTACAGATGTTTCTTAAAAAAATACTACCAACTCAATCTTTACTAGAAAGTGACTCTATTGTGGAACAACAGAACAACTTACCTCTAAGCATGCCCAAAGGTTGGGTCCTCTGACTTTACAGTCCTGACAAGTCCCCTATTAAAGTTCAACACAAAAACAAGTTTTATTTCACTTACTTTCATCAGTAAACCACAACTTCAAGACGAAACAAGAAAAAGTACTGTAAAGCTTAGTATCAGATTAGTACATTAAAGACTTTAGAGTTAACTTCAAAATGGATATGTTGATAACCAACCTAATTTTTGCTTCCCATAATCTCAAGATCAGCTCATTTTTCAACTAAAATCTCAGATTTATCTTTGAGTTTTCATCTTGAACCAAAAATTGCTTTTCTAAATAAGGCATAAATATGTACCATACTACATAATTACAATAATCCTCATAAATGGTCTTTCCAATAAATTTAACACAAAAAGAAATTACAACGATAGAACTTTTAATAAATTATTTTTCCTTCTTGCAGACACCACCTGCAAAGGTTTACAGAAAGGAGATGCAACAGCAAGAAAATGCTTTAATCCTCAGCAGCAAATTAACTGTTATGGAAATTAAGCACCATGGACAGAAATGTTTTCACTTTTCATCACCTCCCAGCTACTTAAATGAGCAACAAGATCCCTCTTTCTTCCATTTATTAATACTAGCTTGAAACCAAGAGTTCAGGGATGGGAGGTTTCTCTAACTGTAGCTTCTCTATCAAAAAGAGAACGGTTACACAAGTAAATTCAAGCATAAATTTCTTTGTTATAGTTTCTTCTTGAAGTCAGTTGTGCTAGACTACATTGTGAGTCCAAATAACTAAATGCTTCAATGGCAATGAAAATGAAGTTCAGCTTGGTGCTCTGCTAACTCTTCTAACTAATTATTCCAATAAAACATCATTTGTGGCAAAGGTGCTCTTTAAATGCTGAAAAATCAATTTTCAGCTTCATCAAGCTCACAATTCTTCTCATACTTTATTTAAACTCTCTTATTCCAGTAGAAGAGCTTTTACCCATGCTTGACACTTAAATTCACCTTATAACTAATAATACACTAAAATGTGGACCTAAAAACCTGACCAGTTAACAGTGATAGGAACAAAGTGAATTGCTACAACTCACATGAGATTTCTGTATCAATTCCTCCTTTGTTATCTCACCAACTGATTCCAGGTGTGGGCAATTGCTGCTGGGTGACGACATCACTGAAGCTGTATTTTCCGAGATCCTGCAGCTGGAATTTTCAATGTCAGCGAATCACCTGTCAACAGAAGTAAAAATGAGTAAAATCCAATTCCTTAGAATAGACAGCAATACTGTGTCTAATATGCAACACATACATAACTTTTAAAACAACGTGCCTCTTTAGACTAAGTTAGTATAAACAACTTTATAAAGAGACTCCAGTAGCCCAAAACTATTGCTGACTTCTAAAATGAAATCCAAGGACTTCTAGGTCATAAGCTAAAAGACTTCTGAATGGAGCAGAGGTGATTTGGGTCAATTATTTCACTTTCTGGACTCTGCCATGGCACCTAAATGATACGAATATTAGTTTTCAAGCCTGAAAGCCTTACCTAGACCTGACAGTGGCGTTGCCTGTATATTCTGGAAAAGGATCTTTGCAACACTACTGAAGCTGTGAAGGCTAAACTGCAGGAACACAAGACTTGTTTATCACAGGATAGAGAAACTTTATCTTGGTTTTATTTATTTACAAAGACGCATTCTAGACTCAGACATATTATATATCAAAAGGAGACTGAAACTTGTGACTCACATGTAGCACTAAACATTTGCAACACTTTTATCTTGTTTTCTTTGCCCATCCAAGGTCTCTTGTGCAGACACAGAAATTTATCAGAAATAAAGAATGCTACATATAATCACTTTGCCATTATTATTTCAATAGAAATAAAGAATGCTACATATAATCACTTTGCAATTATTATTTCAATAGTTGCATAGAAAACAACAGAAGTAAAATTAAAAAAATAACTGTGTAATGTTCTTTTTATATAAATACTCCAACTGATTCATTCAGACAGGGACTATCAAATAACTTTATTACAGTTTTGTCACTTAAACAATTACTACTGATGACTTTCTAAAGGCCAAAAAAACCACTTTTTGCTCAATTATTTTGTCCAATATCTGTCCAATGTAGTGCTCCTTTACCAAGACTTGCAACTAAACTTCAAGTCAGTGATGTACCCTCCTTGTTGTGTTTGCAGCCTTTGGCACTGTTACCCACACCTCTTTCCACTTTGCCTGTGTGCTTTGGCAGCTTTAGGTTTGCTCCTTCCACTTACAGGACCAATCACTCGTTTCAGTATTAAGCACCAGTTTTGACAGAGTGGGGGAAATAAACTTTGCCTAATGGGCATCTCAAACACACTCCCTGGTAAACTTTCAGCTTATATCTGACTTACTTTTTCCTTTTGTTGCCTTGTAATAAGATCCCTTTGAATCAAGAGCCATTTCAGCTGCCTTTGGTCATTTTTCTATATATGTGTGTGTATGTGTGTAAACAGTCTGTTTTGTTACTATGAACATTGTGACACAAGTAATATTATTGAAGTAATATTTGTATATAATATTACATATTCTTTGTAATGCAATAATATGTGATATTTCATGTCCTATTACATGCATGTAGGTATATACATGCATATATACACTTAAATACATTTTCTATTGATAATCACTTATATATAATAAAATTATTATATATATAATTGTATATATAGACTCATAAGTATGAGTATATATGTTTCAGTCCTTTTTAATATCATGTAAACAATTGTTCAATAAGATATTTCAGAACTTATCTAACAAGACTGAAAATACTACAATAAATTAATAATTTAGGATTTTTTTCTAGATGAGACCTGAATTCTCTTCTAGGACCACTGGCATGACATTTAAAATGCATTATTCTAAAATATAAGCTCCAGCTGGAGAACTACTTCCTCCATTCAGTGACTGACTTTAATCTATATGCACTGTTAGTGAAAGACACTTCAAATAAGGCAACAGTTTTTCAAGCCAAACCTCCTCAAGTTCCATCATATTAGCAATTCCTCTTTGAACTGTAAGACTCCCTTTCAGAACAGAAATGGCAACATGAATGCATGTTACATCTTCCACAGTTTGTAAGGTCTGTTAAAATGCTTAAAAAGGACAAGTGAGTTTCAAATAAAGCCCTGAGAACATTAAATGCAGTGAGATGATTTAATACAGATGCTTTAAAAAGACTGATATAATATATTAGTAAAGCTTTAGGCTTAATTTTTTTTTTTTTTATGGCAGGAGCATTCTGAATGTATTATTCCAAGTAATACAAGCAATGAATGGAGGCTTCACCTCATGCTGCCAGATTTGTATTTAATGTATTTAACTTTTCATACATGGAACTGCACAAATCCAAACCTGCAGTCCTGAACAAACCCAAGCCCAGGAGTTCTGCTCATGCCAGTTTCTGTTTCCTGGTGCAATCTGCATCCCTCTTCTAAATAATCATCATAAAGCCCAAAGCTGTTCAAACTCATGTCTCTGTGGATGTGGTCCCTATTCCTGTCCATATGGAGAGTATCTCTTGTGGAATTGTATTTCACATTACAGATTCTTCACATGTCATTATATGAACAAAGCTGAGTGGCCTTGCTTTCACCTTTTGTTAACAAAATTTTTTACACACCTTCTTCCATCTTGCAGCATTGTGATAACTCATTCCACTGCCATAACCTTGGTAGATTAATACACATAGCTACAGAAACACATTTTGTAAAATTTTATGTTAAAGTCTAAAACTGTAAAATTCATTCAAAACCATGACTCATCTTTCACCTCTCTAAGTCCTGGCAAGCCCAGGGTACCCCTCCCTTGCTCAGTGACCTTCCTCCATTTCACCACTTCCTACTCTATGTGAGGAGATTGCTTTTCTTCCCCTGCAGCTCATTATCACATCTGCTTTTACAACAGCTTCTGCATTGCGTTGGCGTCATCCAAAATTTTTTTTCTGCATTTTCAGTACTTGAAAAAAAACAACCCAAAATAATCCCACAGGATTTGTAGCTTCTCTTACATTCCATGTTATACTCCTGTTCCGAAGCTGAAGCATATCTTCATTTCACGATTCCAGTGAGATCACACAATCATAGAATGGTTTGGGTTGGAAGAAACCTTAAAGATCATCTGGTTCCAAACCCTCTACCAAGGGCAGGGATGCCACTCACAAGATCAGGTTGCCCAGGGCCCCATCCAGGCTGGCCTTGGACACTTGCAGGGATGGAGCATCCACAATTTCTCTGAACAACCTGTTCCAGTGCTTCACCACCCTCAGAGTAAAGAATTTCTTCCTAATATCTAACCTAAACCTGCCCTCTGAGTTCAAAGCCATTCCCCTTGTCCTATTTACTACAGGCCCTTATGAAAAGTTCTGCTCCAATTCTATTGTGCAAGGTCTCCCCCTTCTCCTGGCTGAACAGCCCCAGCTCTCTCAGCCTGTTTCCACACCAACTGCTCATGATCACACTCATGCAATAAGGTTTTCATCAAATGCTTCCCACAGATCTGGGAGATGATTTCTCTCCCAGTCTATTGCCAGCACTCTCCATTGCTTCCCCTTGGAGGTTTCAGTTCACCTATCTCAATGCTTCATACTACTACATCCCATGAAGTGAACTAATTAATACTCCAAAGTAGGACTTATCAACACAATTTTGCTTTGAGCATGCACAGACTCACACTACAAAGAAAAAATTCTCTTCAAGTCCAGTCTTGGAAGGTTTTTTTGTGTTCCTGACTTGTCTTTTCACTCTCCAAGAAAACCAAAATTGAACCATCAGAGAAATGTGGACCATGATTCAATGCATCATGACCATCAACCTATCTATTATTCAGTAGAATTCCACAGCATCACAGACTTGTGTGATGCCTAGCATGGAAAACCTATCACACCCACAGAAAACTCCCAGCAAACACTATTAAATTCAACTGATCTCAAAAATTACCTTTGGGTCATGTAAGGAACCCACTATTTCCTAAAGAAACTAAACAGAATTTGAATGCTTTCAAATTTTTTTTGCATTAATTATTTCATCTGCCTAGTTATAGTAGTTAACATTTCAACAGATATTCAAATAAACAATTGTATATTTTATGTATTCCACTATTCCATATTCTAAATATGGAGTCATTTTAGCAGATCATTTTACAGAACTCAGTAAGGGAATGCTGACAGAAGATTTTAAGAATAACAGAATTATTCTGAAGACATCAATTACATGAAGCAGCCATTGTGTCTTCATTACAGGCTTTTATTATTTTGTCAGTACAGCTTTGAATAACAGCATCTCAAACCAGTAATCTGTAAGTTCAGGCTTCTTCGTTGCACTCACATTTATTTTACCAGTGATACAGTGGAACAATTTCATTTAACATTTATTTATATCTTCTAGCAACAAAGCAAGAGTGACACAGGGTGCAACTTTGTACCTGAACACTTAATTACTTAGAATACTAAGGAGGTCTGGAAGTTCAGTAATTACTAACCATATTACCATTCTCCACACTTCAGAAAAAACCCACCAGCATTCACTCAAAGCTATAAAAGCCTACTGAAGTGATAGCCTTAGGCATATTCAGATTGTTAAGATACATATTTTTAATCACTTTTCTAAATATCAATATATGTTGTTTTAATTAAACTTTACAGAAATTCCTTCAATTACTTTTGTACATGAATGATGTTTTTACCAAACTTAGGCTTTTTAGTGTGTCAAATTAATGTTCATCTTTCCTATTTCTTGACCTAGATTCCTTTATATTCCATTAATCAATAAGTAGTTTTGAATTTTATCTCCCATCCATCTGTATTTTTACCTTTTTTTAATCTATCCACAATAAACAAATACATCCCATTTCTTGAAAAAGTGACACCACCAATCCCAGCTCTGGTAGAGAACTTACTTAATATCTATTTAGCATAAAACCTAGTATTTTCCCACTAGATGACAAAAGTGTGCTCAGTAACCTGGTCAAAGGTACCTGGTCTTTCTCCTCAGGCACCAAGAGCTACCCACTCAAGCAAGACACAAACTGATAAGTCACTTCCATTACATTCTTTTTCTGCCCTTAAGTACTGTTCCCACGGAGAAAAGACATTTAAAAATAACCTGGAGTTGAGGGTATATCCTCTTACAAGGTTAGACAGTTTTCATTTTATATTGGCTTTCAGGGCACACAGGCCACTCTTTCGTTTCCTTCTTCCACCACGCTAAATCCTAACTATGAAACCCATTAGCTAACCTCTATATTTCTAAGAGGATTTTCCCAACTCGGGCTTTGCCTAAGCGCAGGAGAAGCCTACAGTGATTTTCCACTAGGTGATCCTCGGGACTTTTCCCCCGGGCTGTTGCAGCCGATGATCCACCGGCGCGGGGAGCTCGGGCAGCGAGCAGGGCCATTTATCGGGACACTGCCGCGTTTGGGCACCGCGCGGTACCCACGGCACCGCTGCCGCACAGCCGCAACTTCAGCCGGGACCGCGGAGCTCTGCGGCCGCTCCCGGCCCCGCCGCCCCGGACCGGCACCGCCGAGCTCCGGCCCCCGCCCCGCGCTGCGGGACCGCGGCGGCTCCCGAGGCCGCCGCCATCCGCACCGCCGCCCTGGGCTGCGGGACCAGCCAGACACACGGCCCGCCGCGCTCCCGGCCCCCGCCACACCGAACCCTCCGCCGCTGCCCAAGCGGGCCCTTCCTCTCTTACCGGAGCAGCCGGGAAGATGCGCCGCGCACGGATCCCGGAGCTCAGCCGGGCTGCGACCAGCCCTGCGTCTCGCCCTTGCCTGAGGGGACAGCGGCGCTGCAGCGGGGCTGCCGTGGCGGAGCCGGGCGCGCCCGGGCCGCGGCTCTCGCCGGTGCCGCCCCGCACACGCGCGGCCGGGCGGGCGCGGCTGCCGCGACGCCGCCGCGGGACGCGCCCCGCACAAAGATGGCGGCGCCGAGAGCCTCAGCCGCTCATGGGAGCGCTGCCCCGCACAAAGATGGCGGCGCCAGGCGCGCACCCCGCCCCTGCCCGGCCGCACGCAGCGGAGCTGCCCGCAGCAAACATGGCGGGCGCGGAGTCACAACGCCGCCGGTCTCCCTCACGTGGTAGCGGCTCCTCCCGGCCGACGGCGGCCGCTTCTCCCTGTGCCGGAAGCGGATCCCGCCGGTCTCCGGGCAGCGCCGGGGCCGGAGCAGAGCGAGCTGCCCGCGCCCCGGTGCTCGGCGGGCAGGTGGGTGACTGGACGCGGCGGTTGTAGCGACCCAGCCCGTGCCCGGGGAGCGGCGCGCCCGTTTTGACCCGGGCGGCTGCAGGGAAGGGGCTGAGGGGCGCGCGGGGCGCCCGGTTGTTCCCGCTGCCCTCGATCCTGCCCGCTCGCCATGCCGGGGCTGCCCGGGCTGGAGAGGGCTCGGCCGGGCTGGGCGGAGGTGGCTTCTGCCCCGAGGCCTCCATCACCTCCCAGTGCCCCGGTTGCGGTCCCGGAGTCGCGGTTCGGAGGCTTCGCCCGGTGTTCAGCATCGGGGAGTGAGAGCGGTGCGCCTGCATCGGGGAGATTACGTCAGGCTGTAGGGGTTGTTTCTCGCGGAGTGTCTGCAAAATAAACGAAGCGCTGAATGAGATAAACTTTTTTTGGCTGCTCGCCAATCTTTTAATTCTTGCAGCAGTGGTGGTTTCAGAGGCAGGGTTGTTGCCGTGCGTGACTTAGAGGCGATAGTACGGGAGCGGCCGGTAGTCAAAGCAGACCGAGCCCTCCTTAGTCCTGGTGGTTGTTCAGCTGCACATCTGCACACAGCAGTCTGACACTCCGGGCCTAAGCTGAACCAGCAGATTTGCTGTCTCCACTTTAAGTCTTGCCTCTACTCAAGACCATCAATCAAACAGGTCATGTACCAGTGATTGAAGAGATTCGAGCTTGAAGAAGAAAAATGTTCTGGGCTTCTGTTGCATAGTTATGCATCCTTTGCATCCTCATAGTGTGTATCCCTCTTTTGACAGAGTCTTCCAGAGACCATCTGTGATTGTTTTCAAGATAGTTTTGCTTAATGAGGTATGGGAGAGAAGGAGCCATGTCAGAAGAAGCTGTTACTGAGACACGATTTTCTCTGAAGACAGTAGCTCTACGGGTGTTCAATCTTCCCCTTTCCTGGTATTATTCTCTTAACCAGGTAATAAATACATTATCTAAATATTATTTATATTATTTATTTATGTTTAATCTTCTCCTTTCCTGGTATTATTCTTCTAACCTGGTAATAAATACATTATCTAAATATTACTTGTAATATTTATTAATATTATAACTTTTGTTATACATTTAAAAGTTAATTGCAGTGTTGTATGTGCTGTTGTAACTGAATTAAATTTGTACAGAATACATTGGGGTTTAGTTTGTTTATAACACTGCAGTGAAATAAGTCTGTCTTTTTTTTTTTTTCTGCTAATAAATGCTTAGTACATCATCATACATTTGCTTTACCTGCAGTGTCTGTATTTCTCCATTTTGTAACAGTGCAGTGATTCTCAAGATGTCAAAATTCTCAAATGGTCTTTTTTTCTCTTGTAAATTCTTTTGTATTTGCAAGCTAACTGCTATTAAATTTTGAATAATAGTATTGAGTTCTGCTTTTCAAGCTAGTTCTTTAATATGACTGTATTTTTTATTGAATTAGATGCTTATAAGCTGTATAAATATTTCATAGTCCCTATAAGAATTTTCCTTTTACTGCATATAAAACCAGGATGAGATATTCTCAGTCTTAACTGCATATGCTAATTTCCACATTTTTTCTATATATTAAATGCTTCAAAATTCCCACTGTTTTCTTTTTTATGTTGCAGCATACTCATGCCTTTCTCAAATACCACATGCAACTGCCTTATGTGCAATGATTAACTTTTTTAGAGGTTTTCGTTTCAGTGTTAATCAATTTATGGTCATGTTTGTAGGCACACACAAATTTAGAAAAATCCTTTTGCAGTTCTTTGAAACGGCAATGTTTTAACATTTAATTTTGTGATCTTAGAGGTTTTAATCTCAGGTGTTTGGTTGTTAACACTTTTCTGTGAAATACAGTAGTCTTTTGTAAGCTTTGTGTTAGTTCTGTGTCCCAGGCATTTAGTTTTCCTCATGGAGTACAGTGGTAGTTGTAGAACTAGTCAAGAACTCATGGTACTTGGAAAGGCAGGGTTATCAAGTCAAAGGTGCTTGACTTGTTGACTGTAAACTCAGTGCAGAGAGAAGCTTTCAATGTTTCTCAGATTGCACAGTGGTGATAGTCTTTAGCAACCAGGAGTGCCAGAGTGCAGTGGTGCTCTGTGTGCTCTCCCTGGTATGAGGAATCGTGTTACACTAACACCATAAGAGGCCAAAGGACCGTGGATCTGGTTTTCTCACAGCATTCTGTTCCTCAAGCAGCATAAGTTTCCAAAAGATTTTTGTGAATGTGAACTGTGGTTTCCAGTTAAATGGCACTTGTCTTCTTTGTGTATCTTGTTACTTTGCGTGTTACAAATTTTTGTTAATGGCTTTTGATACAAGTTGCTTGTGTATGTGGCTCTTATTTACTACTTTAAACACCTATAGACCTATGACTGATCTAGATCTAAAATAAAATGTAATTTTTTTAAAAAAAACTTGATTTAGAGAAATGTGTTTAAATATATGTTCTATTCAAATTGAAACACCACATGAATGTTGGCATAAGGATCTTCCACTCTTTAACTGTGCAAGAAGTAGTATAGTTGGGAAAGAAAGTTCCTTCTCAGTATTTTTTTCTTGTTAGAGATTTAATTGAAGCCCTGCATTGTCCTGACATTAAGAAGAAATTAAAAAAAAACAAATCTTTGATTGAAAGTCATTTGCTTAGATTCCCATAGTCTGTGAATTTGCAATATACTTTATAGTTCTTTATAGTTTGGTGTTACAGTCTGTCTCTCAGTGTATATATATGTTTGCAATTAAATCCCACTTTTATTTTCAGATAAAGCTTTCCCCAGGGTTAAAGAAACTTTTCACAGTAACAGCAGTGAGTGCAATATCTGTGATTTTTCTGGCCCATCACTTTAAAAGAAGACGTGGAAAGAAAAACAAGAAAGTGCCACCATGGGAACCAGCTCATCTCGTATTAGAGTGTACCAAAGCAGGTGCATCAGAAAAAGGTAAGTCATGGAACCCCCAAGCTGTGGCTTTTTTTGTTGTTTTTTTGGAGACAAAAAAAAAAAAGCTGTGTGAGGGGATGAATGTGCATAACTGTAGTAGTAAACCAAACTATTTTTCTTTGATCATGGAATAGTTTGGGTTGGAAGGGACCTTTAAAATTCATCCAGTCCAACCCCTGCATTGAGCAGGGATATCTTCAGTTAGACCAGGTTGATCATAGCCACATCCAGCCTGGCCTTGAATGTTTCTGGAGATGGGGCATCCATTACTTCTTTGGGCAATCCATTCCAGTGTTTTAGCACCTTCACTGTAAAAACTTTATTCCTTGTTATCTAATATAAATCAGCCTCCTTTTAATTTTAAAACCATAATCTCTTATCCTATTGCAGTAGACCCTGCTGAAAAGTCTGTTCCCATCTTTCTTATAGGCCCCCTTCAAGTACTGAAAGGCTGCAGTAAGGTATCCCTGGAACCTTCTCCAGGCTGGACAACCCCAACTTTTAGCCTTTGCTCAGAGGGGGCATGCTTCATCCCTCTAATCATCTCTATAGGATGGAGCACCTAAGTGGGTTTGAATTGTTAGACTTTAAATTTTGAATTTGTCAAATTAGAAACAAAATTACAGTGTCTTATAATGAAGCTGGGCTTCTTGTCAGAGTTGAAGTTTTAATCATGAACCAGGATTAAAACTCTTTTTATCAATAGTGTATTAACAATGGGTTTTGCCATTCTTGCGTGTGTATCTCAATATGGAGAAATTCAGATTTGGTTTTTTATAGAATAGGTGAATAATTAAACTAAAATGCATAGTTATTGTTACAGACATTGAATTCTGATATGTAGTTTCTCAAGTGGAACTGTAAATGAAAGAATAATTGTTGTTTGCTTCTAAACTGGATTTTATTGAAAAAAGTAAATGCAATTCTTGATAGATTTGCACAAGAAGCAATATTTTGAGTTGCAAGAGCTTTAAAATAAATGTGTCTCTTAGATTCTAGTTGTTCCAGTAGTCGACAAAACTTGACTCTTTCTCTGAGCTCTGCCAAGGAAAAAGGATCTCAGTCCTGTATCTATGCAAATGGAGGACTTTTCAGTAAATACTCTGGTTCGGTTCAAAGCCTGGCCTCGGTAAGTAAAAATGTTTTAAGGCTCTTGAATATCTGTTAAATTTTGTTGAAAATGCATCTAAAGGCTTCACTGAGCTGAAGAAGTTTTTTGAATGAACTGCACAGGCAGCTAGAGATGCTGAGAAACCACTGTCCCTACCACAGAGTAAAACCAGTTTCTAGGCAGATGGCTTGGATGTAATGTACTCTGGCAGGAATGTGGTTTTAAGGGTGCTCTCTGTAACAACACTTTGTTTTTCAAGGTTCAGAGTGCCACCTCTTGTCACAGTTGTGCTTGTGCCAATTCTAATTCCTGGGATAAAGCAGATGAAGATGACCTTAAGCTTGTCAATATTCCAGTGACTACACCTGAAAATTTGTATTTGATGGGTAAGTCCTAATAAGAATATTCAGCATCTGCTTACAATGAATGTAAATGATTTCTTGGCTTTATGGTAAAGTGACACAAAATATTACTGTGTTCTTTCTCAGTGTCCTGTTGGCAAGTGTCTGAGAACATTTCCATAAAATAATGAAATCATACTTGATCTAAAGTTAGTTTTCTAGAATACTTTTTCTTTCACTATTTGCAGTACTAATGCTTAAAATCAAGCCCTGACACATGGGGAAAGTGATTATGTCTCTTTACACAAAAAGAAAGTAAATATATATTTGGTATATACTGGTATAGGCTGGGAGGGGATGTTGTTTCAACTTAGATCTCTGTGATAATTATGTTTATTTTAGCTAAGTATTTTCCCATGTCTCTAAAACGTGAATGTAGCTGAATCTGTTCCTGCACTTCCCTAGGGATGGAGCTGTTTGAAGAAGCACTGAGGCGCTGGGAGCAGGCCCTAACTTTTCGTAACAGGCAAGTTGAAGATGAAGCAATCTGTGGTTCCATTAAGCTGGGAGCAGGAGATGCAATTGCAGAAGAAAGTGTAGAAGTGAGTACAACCAGTCTGTAATCTACTGATGCTGCCCTGACAATTTGTTCTGTGTTGTTATCTAAATCTTTGCAAATTCAATTACCAAACGACTATTGATTCAATTTCCAATTTAGTGGTATTGTATTTAAAGGAGATCTGAGTTCTTTCCTTCTTTTTTGGTTGGTTATTTGGAGGAAGGCATGGGAAAGGAACTAACATTACTTATCTTTTGGCAATTGCTGATGCTTCTGGACAGTATTATCGAGCTATCAAGCAGACAACTTCCCTGCATGTAATCCCTTGGGTCCTCTCTTTTTTTATGCTTATGTGAGAGGGTATCTTCTTGCCAGATATAAATGTCTCAGGGAAAAATAATCAATTTCTGCATATTCACAAACAATGTACTTAAACTTTGTTTTCCTCCTGTCTTATAAACAAAATGCAAAAACTATTTTGAAATAAACAGATATGTGTTACTTTCATTATTTCTAGTGCAGCAAACATCACAGATAATTTTAAATTATTTTTAAATTTAGATTTTATTATTATTAATATAAATAAAATGTGTGTGTGTGTTTTGAAAAGTGTGTCTATTGTGGATGTTGAAGTTTTCATCTGACAGTGTCCCTGTGTGGCTTATAGGAAATTAATGTGACACAGTTTGTTCTGTGAAGGCTTAATATCCTTGGATTTTACAAAGGAATCTCACAGGCAGAAAGCAAATAGAAAAGCTGCTAATGTCTGTCTTCTTGCAGGATATCATTAGTGCTGAATTCATTCATAAGCTTGAATCTCTTCTTCAAAGAGCTTATCGTCTTCAGGAAGAGTTTGAAGCCACCCTTGGGGTCTCTGATCCTGCTGCTCTAGCTAATGATATTGGTGAGTACTGCTACTTTACATCATTTTTGCTTGTAATTATGGCTCTTGAGGGGAGGACTGAAATATCCACTGAGCAAAATTATATTTATCAGTAAATCAACAACAAAAAAATCACAGTCTTTATATTGTTATGTTGTGTTTGATTAAGTGGTTCTATTTTAGATAACAGTGGATTGAAAGGAAATTATTTTCTTTGTAACTTGTCACAATTTAAACATTTATACAACAAGAATATATGACCCTTTTTATGGCATGGGTGTTCAGAGGTTTTATGCATCTTCTGAACTACGAAACTTTATATGCTTTTGTCATAATTCTTTTGCCAAAACGGGAAATTAAACTAGAAAGACTTAATCTGAAGCAGATATCCATTAGCAAAGGTCTTATCTCTGGTGAGTGAAATTTATCAGAGTTCTGAGTGACTAAGATGCTACAACGGCAAATATAATGAGTAGTTGCTGCCTGACATGCTGATTAACTACAGATAGTTTTATTGAAAGAACTGGACATTAAAGATGGATGCTGTTGTACCCTTTCATAATTCAAGATGAAGCATCTGTTCTCAAATAAGAACAGAGTTTAAAGGCAGAGCTCGTTCTGGATCAGTCTGCCAGGAGCTGTGCTGCCTGGCACGAGGTGGCAGTGCTGTGCCGTCCTCTCGTGGCCCTCCTTGTCCTGCATCGGCCAAACACAGCCTTGACAAGGGGGAAATTAGATTTGGGTCGGAGCTGGCTTTCTGACTTATCTGCATACACCTGTAAATGTAACCTTAAAGCAAAAAAGCATTTGAACATTTCATTTTGGTATCTGAAACCATCAGTCAAGTTGCATTGTATATCCATTATAATTAGAAGTTTATTTATGATTTCTGTCTTCAGGCCAAATTAATAAAATGGGACTCAAAGGACTTCATGTGAATGCTCAATGTGTTTAGTTATTATTTTGCTTGATTACCCTGGGAGTATTTACAATTAATATTTCATTTTTCAGATGTAATAACTAAATTCTTGTTTACCAAGAATGTTCTGAGAATTTGATTCCTTTTGAATGTTCATTATAGAAATAACTTATGATCTCTGAGTTACTTTATTATTTAAATTTAATTTGTGCTGGCCCAGATGAGTGAAGAAAAAAGTAACGAACTGGTTTAGTAAATAACTGTTTTCTTTGTTCAGGATTTGGAACTTTTTATTATCTTTTTTGAATTTTTGTCTTGAACAGCAAGTATATTAAAGGATGCTTCACTTTTTCAGAATGTTTTAATAAAAAAATCAGAAGGACAATCTCCTTTGACGCGCTTGTGATGCCTTGAAGGGTTCAAGAGTCAAAAAAATAAGCCAGTCCAAGAAAATTATGAAATCCCAGGAGTCAAAAGAAACAAAGATAGTACAGCCGTCTTTGCACTACTAGGAATAAGAATAATTCTCTACTGCAAAATACAAACTACAGTTCTGAACAGAAACAGAAAAGGAGGGTCCTATGCTATATAGGAATGATATAATTTGTGGCAAAAGAAGCAGCTGAGATGGGTTTTCTGGATGATTTACATTTAAAACTTCTTAAAGAAATTAGCTAAAGAAAGCATCCTAATCTACTATTTACTGTTCACAAATCTTGGAAAATGAGAATGGGGGTTGTTTGTTTGTTAAGATTCTGAGATAAATGGGCCATTTCCCAATCATTTGGAACAATCTCCAGCATGTCATGCCTGTGAAACAGTAACTAATTTGCAATTTTGTTACCACAGACAAAATCATACACTATTTAATTAGAGCCAGTTGATACAGTTTCAAAGCAGGTAAGTTTTCTTGGACTGTAAGTTTTTGAGAGATCTGCAGTTTGGTGAATTGGTATAGCATAAATTAGGTGATAATATTTACCTCAATGACTTGAACAGTTATTTCTATTTCTGCCCACTGTTAAGGGGAAGATTTACCTTTCAGGGAAGATATCTGGTCAAATGCTGTAATTTTATCAACTATATAATTGATTACAAAATCATCTGTTGAGCTGGAAGTTGATAAAATTTTATAATTTAGGGCATTTAAAGTATTAAATAAACAAAAAGCAAAGGTTAGTAATAAAGATCTGAATTGTCTCTTTAAATAATAACAAGCTATAACAATACTAGCAGATATGGATTGTACATATAAGTGAGAGATTTTAAAAGAAAAATCATTAAGAAACATTTAAGTAAAGTTACACATAATAATCAGTGTAAGCTCTTGGCACATTGCTGCAGGAAAAAACTTTTGTAACCTTTGGCTGTGTGCAAAGGACAGCAGCAGCATAGAGGCAGAGATGCAGTCTTGGGTTGGTGTGGTTTTAGAATACTGTGTCCCGTTCTCTTGGTCATATTTCAGAAGATTGGAGATTCTAGACAGCTCAAAAGAAGTCATAAAAATTTTCCATGTTTTAGAAAAACAAGCTAATCTGTGGTTCATATTGAGCATGTCAGCTCCTTATTGAAGAAAATACTGAGAGGTGACTGACTTGTTCTGAATAGCTGCTTACACATGGAAAAGTTATGTGTGCTGGGGGATTTGTAGACTTTGTCAGAGTCATAACTAGATCAAATTTCTAGTTGTTCAAGTGAAACCAGTGAAGTTCTGAAGTAAGCTACCCTCAACACACTTCAGAGGCAAGATTTTTTTTCTTTTAGTGCTGTTTTGGGGATGTTTCATTCTTGGAGAGGAAGACACAGACCTGGGGTTAAATGGTCAGTGTGGTCTTTCTGGCATTTAAGTATTTCCCCTTAATACTATTTTTCCTTTTAGCGTGAGCCTTGGGGTGAATGAGATAAAGCCTTTGTCCTTAACAAATTCGTAATTGCCCCATCCCTGGAAGTGCTCAAGGTCAGGCTGGACAGGGTTTTAAGGGCTTTAAGGCCTGATGGGTTTAAGGGCTTTAAGCCCCTGTTGGCAGATGGTCTTTAATGTCCCTTCCAACCCAAACCATTCTGTTATGACACAGCTCGTTAAAAATGCTTATAACTAGCTCTTGTGCTTCAGGGTTTCAACTGTTCACCAGCAACAATAATCAGAAAATGTTTAGCTCTGTTTTTTTTTTTTTTTTTCTCTTGTACATAGGAAAGATAGATATGGTTTGTGGATTTTTCTTCTGTTTCCTCTACCTGAAGTGCTTGTGATCAGCCACAGCTGGAGTTGAGGCTCTGACAGTTGGACAGATGCTATCAAGTGCTACATAAATGCCTGACAGGCATTTCTTGTCCTTACTTATAAGAATGGAAGATGTTTATAATTTGATTTATAAGGAATTCCAAATTTGTTGAGAAGGAAACTTACAGAGGTAAAAATTTTTAGCAATTTCTCAATTTTGGCTTTTTTCTTTAAATTCTTCTATCAAACTTCTGGAGCTCCTGAAACCTCTGTCCTGCTATTTATCTACTGTTCACAGATGCTGCTCCTTCCCAAAACCTTTAAATGTTACTCTTCCCAACATTTCTCTCTACCAAATCAAATTTAGATCCTGGCACTGCCATTGATAAATCATACCACAGGCTTGCTTTTCATTTTGTGATCCCACTTCCTATTTTAGGTTGGTTGTGCATGATAAACAATTTGCCGAGCAGGAGCCTTCTGGAGGAGGCTGTGGTAACGTGTCACATGGGAGAATCAGGAAGGAGTTACCTGGGGGCCTGCTGGAATACAAGAGTTTATCACTGCAGCCACTGTCTTCCTTCATGGACTGTGTCTGAAGTGCCTCTCTTCTGCCTGCTAGGACAGCTACTTCTGATATTTCTAAATATTCAGCTTTCAGCAGTGCAGATGACAGAGGTATAAATAAATATATTTTCTCCCTGTGAGTAGAATACTATTAAGAGTAATAATAATAAAAATAATTGCAAATAATAATTTTTAATTTAGTAAGCTCTTGTTGACTTATAAATTATTAATACCACCCTGGAAAAGAGTCGCATTTTAAATAGATGAAATAATGGAATGCCATCGTGTTCACTCTTGTTGCATTCTCCACTGGACTCTCAGTATTATATAAATCCATAAGCTAAAATAGGATTTCAGTAGAAAAAGTACTTCTGGACATGAAAATAAAAGAAGTATGTAGGGCTGAACTGTGTTTTTATGCTGTGCCTCTTAGTACTGTGAACCAGCATGGAAAGCCTACAGACAGGCTTTCCTGAGCAGGCATGAGGCTGCACTCCATGAGAAAGGAGGCAGTTGGCACAAACCTGTGAAATGAAATATTCATCCTGTTATTTCTGAGTGATGAGTGTGTAGAGGGTTAAAAGCCTCCAGTACTTTCAGTAGTCTTCCCTTGAAGAAAGCTCTCCGTATGTTTTTTTCCTATTTAGATCTTTCCTAGCAGACTGAAATGTTAGTCAAGTTAACTTGGGAGGAATGCAAAGAGTTGGGAGAGAAACAATAGCTTTACTTACAAGCAGAATTTCAGGTCAGAGGGGAAAATTCTCAAATTGTAGGGTTCCTTGTCAGTGCTAAATTCCTAATACTTCATATTATTATTTTAATTTCTACTGTAAAAAGGAATGCGGGCATTCAAACTGATGGTGACTTGTGTACACTGGCACTTAAACTTTTTGACAATATTAAAATGTTTTAGTGTTAGTACATTTTAATTTTTATAATACTTTTAATGTTTATCAGTTACACAGTTTAAATCAAATTAAGTGTTTGAGCTACCACAGTAAAATCTCTCACAAAGGTCTGTGCTGTTGGATGATTTTGTTGAAAGGTTTGTCTGTTTCTTTTTTTAATTTTCTTCTCACACTCAAAGATATGTCTGGCATTTTGGAGAGAATAAGCACAGCCTTTAACCTAGTCTCAAAACTGTTTGGAGAATTGATTTGCATATTAGAAACCTTTTCTTCAGCGGCTCTTAAAACAAACAAAATCTTTCCATAATCACTGAAACTGTTGAAACCTTATTTTTATATAATTTATTAACACAGACTTCTGTAATGTCTTCCTATCCATGGATTAATATCTACAGCCTGTATTTTCTTCCTGCCTCTGAATGTTAGAAATTTTAGTTTGAATGTATTTTATTTGCCTATTTTCAACAAATGTTTCTAGTTATAATTCCTAATCTCCAATGAGGAGCAGTTTGTAGTACTTCACTTAGGTGAGCTCTAATATTAGATACTATTAACTTAAAGAGTCATGTAACTTTTTAGCTTAGCTTGACAACTTTTGCTTGCTTTATTCCTTCAAGATAAATTTACATTAAATAATTTCTTAATTTCTTGGAGAAGGCCTAAACATTTTTATAGTGGCTCAAACAGGATTGAAATCAAAACAAAAGAAAACAACAGCATTTTCTCTAAGTGTAAAAATGTATTCATCCCAGTAAATGAGGGAAGAGGAAAGAAAACTATTTTTAATTCTGAGGAAAAGCTCAGAGAAGTTATTCCAATCCTATTTTTTAAAAAAATAATGCATATTTTGAACATAATTTTTAGTTACTGCAGTTTGTTGAAGTTCAATAACTGCTAAGACATGAGGTCTCTTATATTGCAACTTATTGCTGCAGCTTCTTATTTCTGACACCAAAGAGAAAGTGCACATTTGAATTGGATTGTATGTCTTCCCTATTCAGTAATATTTGAATCTTCCCTTTAAAGACATTTTGTCCAATATTAATAACACTTCCTTTCTAAATGGCTGTCCATAAAATTCTTTATCACAAAGCTCTTAGGTACAATGCTTGAACAGAGTAAGATTGGTAGTTAGAAGTTCAATCTATTACTGAAGCAAAAATACTTTTGCAAATGTTTTGTCTGTAAAAATACTGTAATGCTTGGCTTTGTCAGTGATACTCTAAGTTTTGGCAGTACTCTACTAAAAATGCAAAGTAGCTTTGCATAGACATGCAGTTACTGCTGCTGGAAAATGTTGGTATTCATAATATGTATCTTTTTGTTGCTATTTGCTAACATGGAGTGTATTTCCTGTTAATCCTAGAAGCTGAAATCTTTTCAACAGTGGCTCAAGGATTTCTATTTTACTCTTCACTGACCCAGCAATGGAGAAATTAAGGTCACTTACTATGGTCACTTAGCATGAAGGTTTTTCCAAAAGCACTTTCAATAAGATGAGAAAGAATCTTTTTCTGGTTTTTGAGGACTTTCGTTACTGTTTGCCCAACAGCTTTGCCATTAGATCCAGCAGTGCTATTTATACACCTCATTGCTTTCCCTTAAATGGCATCCCCGAGCCCTGTCTTCTTTCTGTCCACACCAAAACTCCTGTCTAAGCCCTTGTCTCTCTCACTTCTTGACTCCTGCCATGTTTTGTCTTGCCTTGTCCATTTACAACTTGCTTGTCTGACATGGACTTAACTGTTGTTTATAAAAATCACCTTTGCTCATTTTTCTGACCAGATTATTCCTCTCTTAAGAGGTCTCTCTCCCTTGGGACCTTCTCTTCAAATGAAATACAAGCTGGTCCTCCTTTTAGCTCTAAAAGCTGCTTATAATGGAGCCACAATCTACCAAAATTATTTTATTTCCCAGACTTCGTTCTGTTAGCTGTTCCTGTGCATCCCTGCTCAGGCCTCCTAACACAAAATGCATCTTAACTAAATCTGCTTGTTCTTTACAATATGTGGGCAGCTGCAATTGTCTCTTTCTCAATTTTTAAAAAAAAGTATTTTAAAAGTACATATTTACCTTCTTTTTGAGTAAAGAAAAATAATCATTTTCCCCACGTGTCAGAGTTTGAATTATTAGCTGCTTGCCTGCATTTTGAAAAGTTATATAAAAGTGGAAAAAGGCCTCCAAATGCAGGAAGTTGTTGTTTTTTTTTTTTTAATTTCTTCTCTCTCGTGATTTTGTGATACATTCTTAAGAGTTATAGTTTGCAGATTCTTTGCAAACTATAGGGTGGGATAATTGTTTCTTTTTCTGGCTGGAATACTGGCAGTGTGAGGTTATATAAACTGATGATCAGGAACAAGTTTTGGTCCTTAGGGCCAATTCCTCTTTTAGAACTTGTCTGAAAACAATCTCTTCTTGCATTGCAGTCTACTTTTAAGAGAGGCTTGTCTGAAACGTTTTTGGTCAAAATAAAGAAAGGCGAGACAGAACAGGCTGGGGGAGATAAAGGCAGTGATAGTTCAGAATTTTGGAAAGAAATTTTCCAATGTAATCAACTCTCTTGGCTTGGTAGCTTAGTCTTGGAAGTGCAGAAACAATACTTTGAGCTTTCCAGTTGCTTTGGAGAGCAGTATCAAAATGGAATATTGACAGAATCATAAAAGCAGCAAACAGATCTCTGTGCTATAGTTTTGTTAATTCAATAGTTAGAACTAAGATAGATACTCTTCTGTCTGCAATTTATTTTCAAGGACTCAAAATGAAATTGAAACATTGTGTGTATATGCACATACCCAAAGGCTAAGAACTTTTCTTAATGAATGTGTCTGCTATGTTTAAATCTTTCTGCCCTTTAGGTGGAAAAGTCTGACCTAACAAGGTGGCATAAAAGATTGTGGTATATCCACATAGCACAGTCTTCAAGAATTGCTGTTAACAGGATTTGTTACCTAGCACTAGCCATGCCCCATCACTACAGGTCTGCACATTTATTTGCCAAGCATTTAGTTTAGGGTGTGGTTTTTAATTGTTTACCCTATAACTGGTAGGCTTAATTAGCTTGTGTAAGCATTTAATTCCTAATGGCCTTTTAATGTCATACAATTTTCTTAAACTTTTGTTTCGGCTTGCAATGTTTCAAAGTTGAAACTATATGTGGGAGTAAATTTATTTTTGTGGAAAGTTATAGCAAAAGTGAACACTAACAATGGAGGGAGTAAAATTTATTATTCATGTCATTTTTCTCTTGTGCATGTATTTGTGCAGTTAATTGCTAAAACTCTTAGAAAAAGTAACTGGGTTTGAGATGTGCTTGATTTCCCTTCTGATCGTTCAAACTAAAGGGTGATTTTTAAATAAACTACTGTCTTTAATTCTCTGTGAGCTATCTGGACTGTGCACATGTCCCACCTTACCTAATAATCCAGTTTTGCAGCAAAGTGCTGTGGTGTAATTGATTCAAGAGCACATGTCGATCACACCAGGCTTTATTCTGTCTCCTGCTATTTAAAGCTGTCCTTGTTCTACATGGAGAAATGCTGCGAGTATTTAAAGGTAAATGTATGCATGTTCCACATGGCCTGGCACTGATTAGCAGCTGCTCAAACAGATGTAGTTAAAGTTGCCATCTAGTCAATGTATTGGTTATCTGTAAAAGAGAGTAAGGGAAAATAAAGCAAAGCTTGAATACTAAAGAATGTTTATAAGTTAGGTGATTCCTAATGGTCAGGTTGCTCTAATAATTACTTGCATTATGACTAAAGTATCGATATGTTCTTCCTAATGCATTTGGCAACCTTATAGTGTTATTAATTTGGTTTTTTAGTTTGTTTGATAATTGGTCTTATTTAGTAAACTAAAGATTCAGAAGAATTCAGAAGTACAACTTTATAAGGATTCTTATCTCATTCTTTTCCATTGTTGAGGACAAGTGGAATACAATAGGCCGCAGACAGTGGGGCACTTAAGATATTCTTTAAGTCTTATTGCTTAAGTTAAGCATATGTCTTAGTAATTTAAGTTCTCAAACTGTCTCTGTGTGCAGCTGGGTTTTCAGAAGCCAGTCACATTCCTGAGCACTGTCACTGGAGTGTGCAGTGTTCTGTAAAATAGTTCTGCCCTGAAACTGAAGGGAAGGCTGAAATTATTAGGCTGTTCTTACAGAGTTTGTCTGTCAAACATGCTCTATTCTGAATACAGAGTCTAAGTGTGAGCCCAAAACACACATGTATGTCTGCATTTTCTGATGTTCATTTTATTGAGGATCACCAGCTGTATAGCTGGTTCTGTCTTTGTCTGATAATTCAGGGAGATGAGAAGGTATCATATTTTTCTGATACTGTCTTCATACATGTAAGTGGAATTATCAACTGCTGGACAGCATATGTTTCTTTTAATGGAAGAACAAATGAATGTGTGGGTTCTATTTGTCAAGCTGTCTTTTCTTGCTTTGAAATGTCAACACCCCTATCCTATGGCATGATGTACTGGCTAAAGAAAAAGCTTCCTAGAAATCTTAGTTTGATAAGATCATCTTGGATGGTCCCATGCTCTTATGCTGTGTCCAGCAAAGTAGTTTTTATGCCAGAATACTAAAATGTTGTCTCTTTTGGGTTTCATATAACGTGTTAAGAAACTGATTTGAAAAAAAGTACATTGAAGAAACTATTAGAAACACAACAAGTTTCAGGAGCTGAGCAACAGTTGCTTGTTATTATTGTCCTTTTTCATCACTGTGTGGTAATATCTGTCTTTGAAGAAGTGCATGGTGGGAAAGCCAAGAAGGGGGCAATGAATTGCCTTGGAGACAAAGGATGCCGGGATACTTTTGGTAATGCATTGGTATAAACATCCTGCTTTTAAGTACCCACTGACTCACAGGTGTGGAAGAACTGAGACCAAAGGGAGACATTCACTTACTTCTGAGACTTCTCTGTCAGTCTGGTGAGAAGACCTAACCTGCATATGGAGGCCTCTGGCATAGGAAAGGTACTGAAGGTACTAATTTCTAGATGTGGAAGCCTGAAAGTTAACCTTGTACTTCCTTCTCTAAATACGACATTGCATCTTGAATCTGCTCTGCATCCCCATGAGTTAATGTACTGTCTCACTG